TCTATAAGTTAAACGATATATAAGATATATAGAAATTGTTCTAGAACAAAATAGCCTAGACCGACGTCTTCTTAACTTGTATTCGCTTCGTCTATCGTATTGTCTAGGTCGTCTATAAAAGGTATATTATCGTCGCCGTTGCCTTAACTCGCCGTACTAGTAGCTTATTAAGAGTCGGAAAATAATATTAGGCCGGTGTCTCGATAGAAGTTATCCTACGTTAGTCTGTTCGTAAGTACGGATTAAACGGCTTAATATATAGGGGCTAGATTAATATGCTCGGCTAGGGAAGCAATAGCGTCTATCCTAATAAGTAGGTTAGTAGGTTAGTCTATTCGATATAGAGAGTACGTATAGGTAGGAATATAGGGTACGGTTATTACTAGCGTTATCGGTAGTAATAGAGATAATCTTCTTCTAAATACTAAACGTCTTTACTAACTTTATAATAATACCCGCTATTTGTTCTCCGGTATATCGATTAGGTATCGTAGGAAAGTTAAGTATTTTATAACGAAGCTCCTAATCCGAAGAAATCTAATAGGCCCTAATAGTAAGGAATCCTACTCGAAGATATTACGAATACTAGCTATCGGTAGTAAGAGCAACTACTAACACCTCTACGAGGTCGATTATAAGCTACTCGTTAGTCGCGTTACGTAGCTCTATAATATTCCGCTTTTACTAGGTAGCTAACTTAAATTCTAGTTCCTTATAAAAGTATTAGTACGTCTTACGTATATATCGACGCTCGAAAAAGTTTAATAGGAGACTATAGTAGATAATTATCTACGTCTATAGTCTTAGAAAATCTATTAGAGAGATATTAGCCGGCCGTACTATAGATAGTCTACCCTCTCTCTAATCTATAAAAGTTAGCTTAGGTAATATATATTCTTAGTAGATATTATCGGCCTATATTATCGGTCGTACTCGTCCTCTCGTAGCTAGAGCGTATATATATATTCTGCTTCTAGTACTTATAGCGTCGTAGGATTAAACCGGGTATCTCCGTTAGCCTCGGTAACGCTTCTATACGTCTTAGCCTAGAGGTGTGTCTTTATTGCCTTAGTTCTATAGATCGATCCGTATAGTACGGACTCTCCGTAACCCTAATATATTACGACTAGCCTACCTATAGAGATCTTCGCTCCTTTATTATAATAACCCTATACCTAAGTTAACTTACTTTTCCCCTAGTTTATCTTATATATCGTATTTCTCTCCGAATCTTTCCTCGTGTTTTAGTAATAGGTATTAAATTGTCCTACTAGCTTCTAGAATTTCGTATCGAACTACTCTCTAAACTCCTAATTATATCTCTCCTAGTAGATATAGTAGTCGGATTTAATATCGAAGGGGATAGTAGGCTAGACGTTTAGAGTAGATAGTAGTAGCGAAGACTAGAAGGAAGTACTACCGAAGGACAGACTGCCTATACTTTCTAAACTCGGAATAACCGAGCCTAGATACTTACGAGAGCTTCTCCGTACCGCTTGTATAATAGCGCTATTTAATCGCGCGTTTATAGGTAGGCTACGCGGTACTAGAGCGGAATGTCGCTATACTAATCTCTTCGCTTATAGCGGCGTAGCGCTCTTCTCGCTAGAGTTCTTATCGTAGGTACTTATCGTAATCGTCTTAAAACGTAGATAGCGTCTTAATAGATACGTAAAAGAAGGGTAATTAGAGTCTACGAGGAAAGAGAAGAGAAGCGAGTTATAAGACGGTCGAACGCGCCTATAAACAAGCGAGGAAAGCAGTTAGACAGTTAGACTACTATATTAGGCTTACCTATATTAGTAGATAGGGGTTATATATCCGCCTACGAAAATAGTCTCGGATAGCGAGAGGGAAGTAAGAAAGTCTTTATATAAAGACGTAGTACGGACTTAAGATATAGAGCGATTAAGTAAACTATTATACTAAGGTATTAATCTAGCTAAAGTCTCCTTCGACCTAGTAGTACTCGTACTTCCTAATCCTTTAACTATAAGCGCGTTTTTACTTATCCTTATCGCTTAGAACTACCGGCCTCTTACGCTTTATAGGCGTAGTTAACGTATACGCTTCTTATAGAGGTAGTAGATAGCTCTTCTAACTACTACGAGTTAAAAAAGGGGGAGCGTTCTATATTTCCTTATTACTCTCTAACTTTATAGGCTTCGTACTAGCCTTCGTACTAGGAGTTAATATATACGCTTCTTACGCCTATAGCGGACGGCTCTTCCGACTACTATAAGTAGTATATATTTCCTCGTCGCTCTCTAAGAATAGAGATACTAAAGGCTTTATACTAGCCTTTATACTAGGAGTTATTATATACGCTTCTTACGCCTATAGCGGATAGCTCTTCCGACTACTATAAGTAGTATATATATATTTCCTTATTACTATCTAACAATAGAGATACCTAAGATAGCTACTCGATAGGCTTCGTAGTAGGCTTCTTATTAGTAGCCTTCTTATTAGTAGGCTTCTTATTAGTAGGCTTCTTAATAGGCTCCTTCTTAATAGGCTCTTCCTTAATAGGCTCTTCCTTAGTAGGCTCCTCTTTAATAGGCTTCTTTTTAATAGGCTTCTTCTTATTATCCTACTTCCGCTTCCTAGGCTCCTTCTTTTCCTTCGAATTCTCGGGCTCTAGTTCCGAGTTACTCTCTAGTAAAGGATTAACGAATTAGCGCGTTAGTATAGGCCGGCTAGTAAGAATATCGAGGATTCTATCCTCTATATTCTTTACTACTATCCTAGTAATTATAATATCGCGTACGTTATATATCGAAACACCTCTTAACTAAAGTAATATAGCTCTTTCGATAATCTACCTCCTTATAAGCCTCCTATACTACGTCTATATTACTACTCGGAGAAATACCTGTCTACGTTACCTCTCGGAGAGCTACTTCTGTCTCGAATTTAGTAGCCTTAGCTTAATAGAGGTGTTATAAGTAGCGCTTTAAACGGTACTATTATCGGCCTTATTATTAGCCTTATTATCGGCCTTTTCGTTAGCCTTTTCGTCGGCCTTTTCGTTAGTCTTTTCGTCGGCCTTATCGTTAGCGTTCTTAGTAGAGTGTTCTCTAGGCGGAATACTTATAGAGTAGTCGGACGGAGTAGTTATAATACCGGGTTTCGTTATAAGGGCGGACGACTACGTCGCTAGTATCGAGGTTTCTTAGTTTTCTTCTTTAAGTAAGTTACTCTAGCTATCGTCTAAGGGTAGTATATTATTACTAGGCTTAGTCGCGATAGTCGACGCTTATATAGAGTCGCGCTTCTATTTAATTTCTCTACTTATATCTTTATCTTCTACCTTAGTAGTAAGGGATAGGCTAGAGTCCTTAGAGGATCCGCTACTTTATACTAGTAGATAGAGTATACGTAGGTCTTGTCCTAGCTTATCTTAGATTCCTAATTTAAGAGAGAGTATAGTAGGTAGTAAAATACTTCGTAGAGAGTACGTAGACTATCTACTACTAGTTCAAATAGGCGTAGGATCGGCTATAATATTCTAGTACTACTATATAAGAAGGAAGAGTTAGCTATAGTAGTACCGAAGGGGTTAGTATAAGTATATAATACCTATTCTAGTAAATCTAGTACGCGCGCGAATTTCTAGTAAGTTATAAAGGTTAAAAGCGGATAGAAGGTATATTTAAATAGGTATACGGGTACTTTTTAAGATCGTATAAGAAGAAAGATCTACTTTTAAGTTTATTATTTATAAAGGTAAGGTTATATAAGAAGAAAGATCTACTTTTAAGGTTATTATTCGTAAGAGTAAGGTCGTATAAGGAAAAAGGTCTACTTTAGTATATATATTTGTTTTATAAGGTAATAAGATCGTATTAAGAGAAGTAATAGATATCGTCGCTAGGGGAGGGAGTTAGTTACTAGGTAACGAAGTTAGTTAATAGGAAAGGTTAGTTATTAAGGTAACGGCCTAGAGCTCTACGGCTATTACCGTATTAGAATAGTTTATCGTAATTATATATAGCTAACGACGTACAAGTAAGGGCGAGCAGTACGATCGTTCTACGGAATGGTTTGTGAAAATGTATACGAATATACGAATAAATGCTCGCATCCAGACCTTGGTTTTTTGTTTTTGATTTTTTCGGTCCCAATTTTGAATCTTGGGCCCAAGCTTGATTGGGCTGAGGTATCTACGGAACGTTTCGATTGGTCTTGAGCAAGCGAATCGTTTTCCTTTTCTTGGTTAGTTTGGGGGGTGAGCAGTCGTTTATTGTAGTTCGATCTGGGACGATGCACGGAATTTTTGGTTTTTTGGTGCTGGAGAGAGAAAGCCTTGATACCGATCATCGTATATCATTGTTAGTAAGCGTTCCACATCTTGAAGATTGAATGTGAAGTACATGTGAAACTGCGTGCTGTTGAAACCCATGCCCAGAAACACGAGATGCTATCTATGTTCAACCGTGATGCCTTTGGGGAAAAGTGGGCTGTGAGAGAAATATCCTTTGCTCAGTGTCTACCCTAAGAATGGGTGGCTGTATCTACACTTCTCGGATGTGCAACAATGGACAGACTTGCCAACTCGCTCCAACGCTCAATTCAGAATGGGAAAGAGAGAGAGAAAAGAAACAGCAGCGACGGGAATCCCCAAGCAGCATCCGGGACCTCTCAGGCTTTGACGGTAGCCAGTGTGACATGTTCGAGTGATGTGTGAGCATCCTTAATGCGTAGACGTCCGTGGATGCCGAATGTGACGTTTGGCTCCAGTCCCAGGGAGGCCAAGGAACCTGTCGTTCCCTTTTACCATATCTCTCCGCTGGGCCACACCAGTCCTCTTTGACAACCACGCCTCCACTTGGTTGTCTCTGTCAATTCTCGACATCTTCCTCCAAGACGCATGTTCACGACGTCCACCAGTTCCAAAACCTGAGAGGCTGCAGGCCCCCACAATGCAGGTAGCTGTGCACCTTCCTTTTCCGGCCCCAGAGGTCCAAGCCCATCATGCTCATCATCACCGCATGGTCCTACCAAGCATTGCGATCCCAGTTCGGATCCTGTACAAAGCCGCCTAGTACTCTGCTTCCGGTCTGGAGGAGAGGATGTCCCACTACGATCTTGAGGAAGCGCTCGAGGCCTCTTCGTCGTTCTTCGATCACTGCGTCGTCGAAGCGGTTGAGGTAGACCTTTCCTGGTAGGGAGGGGATCGAGACACGAGCGGATTCCCGTTCGAGGAGATCGCGGAAGACTTCAAAGTCGGAGTATCGCCGGCGGACTTCGCTGCGGCGGAGTTTGAAGGCGGGAATGTTGGTGCTCATGCGGATGAGGTAGGTTGTGTACCGCGACGAGGGGGACGAGGTCGGTTGGTGGGTTTGCGGGTCTATTACCTATGCCGCCGCCACACTCATCAGCACTGTCTCTCCGTGCTACGATCTCAAGCCTGCGCAGTTCATACCTCTATCTCGAGGAAGTTCTCCGGCACCCCATAGATCTCCTCGAAGCTCTGGGTGTGCGCGTCCCTCCCCGTGCTTGCGAATCCACTGGGCAGATTCCATGATTTGGCAGCGGCGTTTTGCTGTGATTGTGGAGGTTGACCTTCTTGTTGTTGAGCTTGCGCCGACGTCTCGACTGGTCGAGGATCGATGCGCTGCATTCTGACGAGTTTGCGAATAGCTTAAAGACGGCGGTGGGGTTGGTGAGGGGGGTGGATATGGATGGCGAACGTCGGTCGGGTCAGAGCCGATTGATGTGATGTGGAATATTGCGATTGCGATCGTTGTTTGCGCACGAGAGGAAGAGGAGGAAGAGTGATTGTTTGTGGTTTGTTTTTAGATGGCTCTTTCACAGCACCAAGTGCGGCACATCGCCTCGAAGAAGGTGGAACCGAGGCCACGCGAGCACTTTTTCTTGGCATTGGCTTGCACGCGAAGGTGAAGCGCCAAGCATTTGTGGCCGGTGATTGGTCGTCTCCAGCTCGTGGTGGGGCATGTGACGGCATCCCAATACGGCAGCGACCTCCTTGGGAGCTCCTGCCTCGACTCCTCACCTTGCTGTCAAGCTACGGCAGGTGCGATCAGGCGACAAGGAAGGTACAATCAGTACCTTGTAGCGGCAAAGAGGAGGCAGTGGCAGACTGAAGCTCTTATATCTCGGCACAACGCAACACAACGACCCCAAACACCAATTCCACCTATCGGATCGTAACGGCGTCAGCAACCATCTACGAAGTGTTGCCGGCATTGGACTCGCTGTATACCAAGACACACATCCCAAACCATACGCTTCTCGCACAGCCGACGACGGGCTTCGAAGGAAGGATACCTTGGCCGCCATCACCGCCGCCATGTATTCCACCCGACGTCTGCTCCCACAGCTGGGCGGCATCACCTCTACCACCCCTTCCACACTGTCCCGCTCCTTTGTGAGCGCCGCACAGCAATGGAAGCAATCCACCAGAGCTCCCGCCCTCTCCGACATCGAACCGGAGCAGGGCCATGTCTTTGACCACAAGCAAAAGCAATTCCGCGACGACCTGGCCGAGCAACACCGCAAGCGTAAAGAGCAAGAGCGTCAGTCTGCCAATTCCTCCACCGCTAAGTCTGATACTTCCTTTGCTGCTACTTCGCAAGTTTTGGGCGAGGCCGTGGGCTCACTTACCCCGCTTACAGGTCAAGAAGCCGAGAATAAGGAAGACCCCAACAAGAAGAAGGGCGGCCGGCTCAGCAGCATCATCTACGGCACCGAGGAGGGACGGGAGATGGACCGGGAGATCGAACGTAGCTTCTCCCAGGTCCTCGCGAGAGGAAAGTATGTGCACAGTATCGTGTTCCATGAGGTGAAGCCGGATAAGGTGGACGAGTATGTCGAGCTCGTGGGCAGTTGGTACCCGCGAATCGCCAGCACGCCGGACAACAAGGTCAATCTCGTGGGAAGCTGGAGGACTGAAGTTGGAGACTGCGACACCTTCGGTAAGACTGCCCAACAACAACGCGACGACATCTCGGTTCACTGCTGACGGATTGCAGTCCACATCTGGGAATACCAACGCTACTCCGGCTACCACGCCTCCCTCCACTCCATCCAGAACCACCCCGAGTTCCCCGAATTCGACGCCAAGCTCAAGAAGCTCATCCACTCCAAGAAGACCTCGCTCATGCAAGAATTCCGCTTCTGGCCGACTTCTGCCCCACGTCAGCTTGGAGGTGTCTTCGAACTGCGAACCTACACTCTGCACCCAGGCAACCTCTTGGAGTGGGAGACACACTGGCAGAAGGGCCTGGCGGCGCGGAGACAAGTCATGGAGGGTGTTGGAGGTAAGCATACACAGACTGCACATGATTTCTGCGGGAGGGCTCTGCTGACAGGAGAATAGCGTGGTTCGTGCAGATCGGTGCCCTCAACGAAGTTCACCACCTATGGCAATTTGCGGATCTCGAAGAGCGCCGTGCGAGGAGGGAGGAATCGTGGGCGGTGCCTGGCTGGGGAGAGACAGTTCACAAGACCGTGCCGCTCATTCAGAGAATGAACAGCCGTATCATGGTTCCGATGCCATGGTCGCCGATCGGCTAGAGGAGCCCATGACGCCGAATACTTTTCACGCGTAGGATGAAGGAAGCGACGAGGGATGCATGACTCCCTTGCGAGTCGGGAGGAACAGCAGGCTGTTCCAGGGGTTGGGAAAGGATGGATAGTCCTCTGGCTGCGAGCGAACACAGCACCATGGGTCGGAGGGACTACTGAGCGGGGGAAAGCTCTCTGAGGCTGGTAATCACGCTGCACCATGCACGCTCACCACATCCGGGTCTGCCAACATGCTGAATGGGCGAAGTGTAAGGTAGCTATGGGCAAGGGAGAAAATGGAAAAAGGAAATTCGAAAACCCCGATCTATTCTCCAACACGCACACAATCACACCGTCGCCCCTCTCAACCTCCCCTTTCCCTTTCCCTTTCCCTTTTCCTTCCCACTCCCACTCCCACTCCCACTCCCACTCCCACTCCCTTCCCCCGTTTCATCCACACGGAACAAAACCCGCTGCTTCCCACTCGGCCCTCGATTCTCACACAGCCGGAATTTCTTGCCGTACCCCATGCTCCGAAACATGCCCCGCTGGGAAATCTCATACCCGGCCGCGAGGACGTGTCGGTCCATGGTGATGTCTGGGAGGCCGATGGATTCGCCCCGCGAGCGGATCTGGGTGAGTTGTTGCGTGGTCTGGGTCGGGGAGCGTTTGTGTTTGGAGGGTTTGTCTTGTGGTGGTGGTGGTGGTGGGGGGACGGAGAGAGGATTTTCTTCTCCTGATGAGGATGAGGATGATGGTGGTGGTGGTGGTGAGAGGATCTCGTGAGGGAGGAGAGGGGCTGTTGGGTAGGAATTTTCTTCTCGTGGGATTGGTGAGGCTAGGGAGGGTTTGGGCGCGAGGGGTCCTTCTTCTTCCTCTTCTTCCTCTTCTTTTGTAAATCGGATTGCTTCTTCGCAGCCAGTCGAGAAGTGGCTTTCGCGTGTTGTTGTGTTGTTCTCCGGCTCTGAGGTTCCCGACGCGGAGCTGGAGATTGGCGAGTCCAGGTCAGGTTCTGTCGGGAAAGCATCTCCTCCAAAAGCGAAATCTCGGACGATGGAGCCTGATTTCGTGGTTCTGGTCATGGGCTCGTGGGAAAGTTTGAAGTCTGCTGAGAGATCTGAGCGGGCGGCGATGGGGCCACGGGGTCTGTGGGGTTTCGGTGTCGAGGCATCGTCCTTGGCTATGAGGTTTCCGACATCAGCGGGCTTATCTACTGCGGAGCCTCGTGGGCTCATGGAGGGCGATGGCGGGGACTTTCGTCGTCGAAGCGCTCCTCGCCAGTTGAAAGAAGACATATCGGACATGACTTTGGTACGGTGTTGTTGCTGTTGCAAGTATATTAGCTTTCTGATCCTTCAACAAAGCGGTAGGGAGGTTGTGTCTCGTACCCTCTCGTCCCATGAGATATCCCTCCATGTATCATGTCCCGGATTCGCGGGGTCCCAATCGATGCTCGATGCTGTGGAACTGGATGGTGTCTGGTTACTGGGACCGGGCACAGCAGGAAGTGCAGTATCTGCTTCTGAACTGGTCTCTCGAGCGAATCTAACAGCCGGGCTGCTCATGTGGGCTTCGCAAGGGTCGCTCGATTCTCGGGCGATAGATGTGTCCAGCTTCAAAGCAGGTCGAGTGCTCCTCTTCGGTGTTGGGCTCGCAGTTTGAGAGAACACTGCGGTAGCTGCAGATTCGTCGGCTAGCGTGATCTCCTGCATCACCTCCTGGAGGTCCTCTGAGTAGGCGTTCAAGGTGGCATCCACGTAGTCTTCTTCGTCGGAAAAGTCGTCCGAAAGCACACCAGTATGCGAAGAAGATCCCCTTTTGGGGACAGGACGGCTGCCAGGGGATACCTCGCCGCCATCAGCAGTATCGAAACTTGAGGAGACATTGGGAGAGCGCGTAGAGCCTTGCCAGATGAAGGAGCCGTCTTTGGGCCGAAGTGGGCTCGGTGTGCTAGCATGGCCCTTCTCCGCCTGTGCCGTGGACGGGCTATGACTTCCGATCTTAGAGAGAGCCGATCCAATGCTAGCAATCGCTTTGGATGCGGAAGTTGGCGAGACGACAGAAAACGAGTCTTGACGGCTCACCGGGCTCTTGGCGTCGGTCTTTGCTCTTCGACGTGGAATGGACAACGGTGGCAGTTTGCTGAAGATGCCGCGGCTTTCAGCCACAGGCTGGCCTTGTCGGACGAGATTTCTACGAAGCGCTCAGCAAGCCGATTCTGATGAAGATTTCCACAATACCACTCACTCCTGCATAGCGGCCATCCCGCGAAGACAGAGAGCTTGGCCCACGTTGTGGTCGCTGGAGATGTAGCTGTTGTCGGGAGCGACATGCTGCTCAAGAGAAAAGCAATGCCAGCCTTATGACTTCGATGGTGCTGCGAACCATGTCTGCAATGCAGCGGGGCATCGACACGATGGAGTGACTAAAACGAGGGTCCTGATAGGAGCATGTGTTTCGATACCGGTCTTGTCCACACTCGAATGATGGTAGGAGCCAGTGCTGAGAGCGCTGAAGGTCATATGCAATTCGTTTGGAAGTCCCAGTGGGCTGGAAATGCCTCAATTGATGACGTCCTTGGTAGATTTGATGAGATGGACTCTTCCTTCATCCTCGTTTGCGGTTGCGCTTAGTCAATATCGGTTTCCCTGATCCTCTGAACTGCCTCGACTCCTTCAAGCCCCTCGCAAAAGCGCCGAATAAACAACCTCCCGACATACTCCACGTCCAGGCCAGCAGTCACGCCCTGCCATTCCAAGCTCGTGGTTTTCTTTCCCTCCAATCCACACGCAACAATGCGATCTAACCAGCCGAGCTCTGTGTTCACATTCAAACCAATCCCGTGACTCGACACGTTGCGCCTCAGGTGCACACCGACAGCACAAATCTTGTGCGTGTCATCCGTCCATACGCCCGGGTCATCCGTAGTGCGGGCTCCAATGCCGTAGTCGTTCCCGAGTAGCGAGATGACCGTCTTCTCAAGATGGCGAACATAGCAGCGTGCAGTCAGATGATGTCGCTTGAGATCGATGATGGGATAGGCGACTAATTGACCGGGTCCATGAAATGTGGTCTGTCCACCTCGCTGGGCTTCATGGAATTCGGCCTTTCCCCACGGTGTCTGTTGGGTGAGGTATTGCTTCTGAGCCTCTGTCACAGCGCCTACTTCCCTTCTGCCGCAAGTATAGACAGGTTGGAATTGAGCAGTTATAATGGTGGGATCTGGTGGTGAGATGGTCTTGGGTGAAGCTTTGTGGGCCAGCAGCTTCGAGACTAAGCGATCTTGGATTTTGGCGGCACTTGTGTATGGCACCACGCCGGGAAGATGGAGATGTCGAAGGATCATTGCTAGAAGCCTGCACTGATGATTTCTTCACATGGCAGAGCAACTGATATTCACATGGCAAACGCTTTCCACATGGGGTTGAAGAAGTGGGAACGCTGGTCGGAGCGCGGTCCGTGTCCGTTCCCTGCAAGCATGTCGATCTCTGATGATCCTCCCTTCGAGACAAGTCCACCACACATCAAGTCACATTGTACATACATATGTGTCGATAGCATCTCGGCTACCCATTGCATGTCACCATGTCTCTCCCGACAGATGAACCGCCCGCTAAGAGGCGCCGCGTCCACCAGAAACCGGAGCCTCGAGGTCCCAAACTCGCACGCCTGCCGAAAGATGCTAAAGTCGAGAAGCGTCCGTTAATGCGACCTCCCATACCATCGCCGTACTCAGGTGCCCACAATGAGAAGGTCGTCTACGTCGGCTCCAAGACTCCTTTCATGGCTGCAGCCAAGCGTGTCGAGAAGCTGCTACGGCTCTCCGAAGAGCGCTTAGTCCAGTCTGCGACCAAGCTCGCTCAGAACGATGCGCGGCGGAAAAGTCGACGAGGAGGCAGACAGGGCGACAATGATGAGATACTCGCTATAGCAGAGGCAGTCGAAGCGCAGAAGCGTAACAGTACTGCCGGGCACGAGAGCACCGGCGAAGAGGTGGTGATCAAAGGATCTGGAAAAGCCATCCCGAAAGTCATGGACCTCGGAGTCTGGTTCCAACAGCGAGATGAGACGTATTCTGTGCGCTTGAAAACTGGCACTGCGAGCTCGATCGACGATGTCACGTACGAGAAACCAGTGGATGAGACAAAAGCCAGCAACGAAGATGCTGCAATGGGCAATGCCGATGACGGGCTACAGGAAGAAGGTGCAAAAGAGACTGTGGAAGAAACACGCATACGCAATGTCAGCGTGCTGGAGGTCTATGTCAGCTTGCGGTGAGCCGTGGAGCTGCGCTACCACGCATTGACAGAACTGTTTGTGAGGCGGATTCCACTTACTTTGCTTGGAGATACCCCTACTGCGAGTCTATCGATTTCGAGCTTCATCCAGGCGCCTGCAAGTCCCGCGTGCATACTCACATAATGCTTCAAACCTTCACTCAGGACAACTGACACGTGACTTAAGCAAGCAATGCGATAGGTCTGGACCAAAAGATTCGCGGGATCTAGCTCCCTGCTAAAGGCCTACAACTTACCTAGGTTGGATTTCCTACATGAACAAGAAGAAAGAGAAGGAAAACTGCCTTCAAAGGGCATATGCTCGTCATCGCGAACCAATGCGTTCCCCGAGACGCGTCTTCGAGGGGTGATCCTCTTCGTCTTGGGAGAACAGCATCTTCACAAACGACATCGCCGAGAACATAAACAATACCATGCCGAGCCCATGGTGCGGCGTTGGAATGTCACATCGCAAAGTGTACTGGACTCGGATATACCACTCGGGCTTGGCAGGCATGAAGTGTTCTCCGGAGTAGGTTAAAACACCGCTCCATCGAAGCGGTCACCACTCGAGCCACAAGATCGTATCTTTCTTCAAAGGCTCGCCGACAGGCTATGCGATACCGTCCCTCCTGGAGCTGACTCCGAAGGCCCCATCCAGTATTACCTTCGGTATCGATTCTGGAAGCTTGCTAGCATATCTGCCATGTGCGTTTCACGTGCGGCCCTGCGTCTTTCCCCATGTCGCGCTAGATAGGGTTTTTATGCGCTAGGACGGATTGCCCATGGGGAAAACGACGCTAGTTGCGTCCACTGGCGCATCCCATGGGTTAAGAACACAGCGAGGAACCCATTTTCATTATCTGCTTTTCGCGCTGGACTGACTTGGCATCCGGTCCAGGACAAAGATACTGAGCGGGCGCTCCGGTAGAGTACATGGAAGAGCTGCGGGTCTCCGGATGTGCGGAGTGTGATGCCGTCTCTTTCGTTTCCGGTGTACCTTGTGACCTTGCCGCAAGAATGGCTTCGCGCTACGCGATCGTTGATTGGAAATCCAGGCAAGGATTGGGTGTATTATACTCTCACGCCCGGTAGGTCGGTCGTATTGGTAAGATTGCTTGCCTTGCGACTTTGTTCGTTTGTCCATCTTCTCTTCGCGGCTCTCGGCGAGAATGGCTGAAGTTAAGGATATTTCTGCTCTGGAGAAATCGATCGCTCGTACTTCCAGGACACTTCGAAGAAGGAGAAGGTTGAAGCCTTTCTGAATGAGATTGGATTTCAGACGAGGCAAAGACGGCGCTTTGGTATTCCAAGATGGCCGATCCCTTGGCCTTGTCCTTTCTGCTTGCTATCCACAAGGCGATCTTGAGAATGAAGTGAATGCCAAGACCAGACCTCGGCTCAACTTGCCCCGCTACCCTCGACTTTATCGCATCTCAAGCAGCATTTGCATATTAACATACCGTTTCCTACCCTCAGCTACCTCAATCGCATCTTCAAGTCACAATCCGTCGATAATGCAATTGAGGTGAGAACGATGCATACTGCATCGTAATGCTTGCGAAACTTTCCGTCGTCTAAGGTGCTAATATCGCTGTAGCTACCTAGCTCTAAGTATTTCTTACTCTAACAGCTATCGCGATCCTGGGAAGACTACGTACTATGTGTCTACGAGGAGAATCATTGGCAGATGATTTCTCGCATCTTCAAATGTGTCCTTCAATCTCGAAAATGCAATTGAAAATGCGTCACAAGCCGCCACGTGCCGCCACGTGTGACACAAGCTGTCCGGCGGCAAAGCCTGGTATCTAATTCTGGGGTTCTTTCTCAAAGGCCTCCGACAACCACAAACATGCCACGAAACAAACCCCATCTCCAACTCGCGCTCTACGCTCGTCCCAAGCATCCCGGGTCCTATCATTACGCCTTTTTTGTAGCGCCGAAGAATGGGCAAGCGCCGGCGACCAAACATCACGTCAAGAACACATGGCAAGTCGATGACTCCGGAGGCATGACACAGCCCTGGCGATACGAAAACGTCGTCGTAACAGACATCAGCACCGAATTGCGCCTCCTGGCGCGCTTTGTCATCGCCAAAGTCTCCGCATCTTCTCCCGATCAGGTGCAAGGGATTCTCGAAAGCGTACCTGTGGACAATGCCGAATTGGGAGCGAGGGAGTTTTCGTGTCGCACGTGGATTCGAGATGCCTTTGAGGAATTGAGACGGCATGGGGCGATTACGACTGGCAAGCTTGAGAGCTGGGAAGATGTCCAGCGGGAGGCGTTGGAATATCTTGAGAAGAAGAGACGGCAAGGCAGGTGGGAAAGTTCGTGGAAGGGGGTCGGGGGAGATATCCCATTGATGGATCTGATAGGAGGGAGGGAGGTAGTTGAGTAGGTACTCAGTACTTATTCTACAGCGAAAGGTTCGTCGTCTCCACTGTCTCTGGCCCACAGCTTCCACGCCAGGAGAAGTACCTCCTGCCATGAAATGGCCTCTCCATTTGCTGACGTGGGTCACTAGGAGAAGATTAAAACATATTGAGGGCCTGGCTCCATGCCTATCGGTGACTGACTCTTCACTGCGCCCTCCGCTTCCCAGCGGAAGAGCTACTAGCCTCACCTGCACCCGTCGAGCGGCGGCTCCTCTTCAGAGATTCCTCCGCAGTCTTTGGCGTAGGCTTTGCGTCCTTAGCAACCGCACTTCCCACGTCGAAATCCTTAGTGCCCTTGCACCATCCCCCACAGCGATCACACGGATAATCTCTCCCAATCTTGCAGACGCCGCATTCGTTGCAGTGCCAGGAATCTTCCAAGCATTCGTTGCACTTCCAGCAATGAGCGATATTGTGTCGACTAACCCATGTATCGCGGCAAAAAGACCATCTCATTGAGCCACGGCTCGTCAAAGCGTGGGGCATGGCCATTTCGGGGTTGGGGTCGTAATGTTCTCGTCCACATGCGTATCGGAAGAGCTCTTTGAGCAGATTTGCTTTGGCTTCTTCATCTTTCTCCGCCTGCGCTTCGTTGATCAGGTCCATCATGCTCAGGAGATACACGTCTCCCGCTTCCCTGATTCTCGCAGTCTCACCAGCTTCCATCATCTTCCTTTGAAGATCCTCAACATCTAGCTCGTTCCCTCGAGTGTTCAAGTGGTTGCTAAGGCAAGCACTGGCTGACGCCTTCGGGAGCCACTCGCACCTACTGTTGGCTGCGAGGTATGCTATAGCAATTCTTCCTGATCCTTTGACTTCGTCAAGAAATCTCTCCCTCTTGACGCCTCCCAGATTTTCGGCGATCCGGGTGAATGGGCTTCCGCACGGTTTCGTGGAGCCTTCACAGTCCATGCAGCTGCAGACCAGCCCGCATGGCCATCCGATCTTGCGACACGCACAAGATGGACCGCAGCCTCTACGGCACTCGCAGTTGGTCATCTCTTGCGTTCCATCTTTGGAGGAGTAGTCAGAGACATCCTGCGTGAGGAAATCAGTCTATGAGCATGGAGGAGGGACTTTGTATCGTACCCCTGTGAACTTGGTGCCAGGAGGCGCCCGAGACTGCGAGTGCTCCAAGACGACGGCGTCGTCTGCGGCCCGATCCATTGCTATCTGAAGATATATCCTGAGTACGAGATGATTTGCTGCCTAGATCTTGGTATTGAAAGAAGAGCGATAGTATCCCAAGCTGGTGAGCTGAGAAGTAAGAGGTGAAAAGTGTATCGGAAAGAGAAGCGGTCAGGTCCTTGCTCTGCCCCTGAAGTATGCCTCGTCTCCGCCTTTAGCGCAGCTGCAATCTTGGCCTGAAACTTTGTGGGGGTTGTCCCATTCCTCGGGTAGATGTAGCGCCCTAGTGCAATTCGATCAAGGCCTGGTGCAATCCATGATGATGAGCACAGTAGGTCTATCGATCATCCCTGGCTGCTGTGTATATCATTCCCGTGGCGTGCGCTTCGAAATCCTCCAGAATGCAGATCTGACTCAATGGCGATCCAACCTCCGCCCATGTTCCTCCATAGGTCCGGGTTCTGACCAGCTCTGAAGAGAGTTCCGATCACATCTTCATTCTTATGAGTTTTCCATATCGTATCCTGTGAAAAATAGGACAACACTTGGGGAAACCGAAGGGGCCAAGGGAGACGGGCGAAAAGTCATCCGGGATGCATTGCTCTCGGATACGCTGAGACCCAGCGGCAGCCTCGGAGCCAATCGCTTGACCAGTCCTGAATCTAGAGATTGCTCCATACAGTAGTCCGCGGTCATGGTATTGATGCTTGATGCGTATCTCCACTGCCGCCGCTGTGTGCGCTTCGCTCACTTCCGGCAGAGACGTTCGACCGTTGATGACCCTCGCGTACTCGAAATCTGCTTCCATGAAGATTAGCCAACTATGCATTCGGGCTCCCATGCATTGTTCCGGAATGGACCCGAGAGCTACAGTTGTGATGCCCTTGACAAGCACTGCTCAACATGTTGAGCACCATGTTGCTTAACATGTTGCTTAACATGGTGGAGACCGGTGCTGAAATCAATATAGATCGTCAGGTTGCTTTTCAATCCTGATCTCGTCCTGCTCTACGATGGCAGATGATGCGCTCATATGGGATTTGGATGCATTCGGCGGATGTTCATGAAGTTGCTTAGAAGGCGACGTCGACGTTGAAGTCAATGCCAAGACTGACGCTCGGCTGCACTTGCCCTTTTACTTCCCTCTTTGACTCCATTCTAAACAACACCAACATCTCGCTATACCGTGCATGATCAATTTGAAAGGACTATCATGCGCAGAATAGTCTACACTATGTACTATCGGCACTCTCACCAACAGTCTCTTCGAGAATCAAAGTGCACATCGTCTGAAATCATTTTCCCTTCAGCGCAAGCTGCTTCGATTGGATAGCATGGTGGGTATCTACAGGAACCTTTATCAATTGTCTTACAAACCCGAATGCCGTGTGTTTTCGCTTGCTATCTTCTCATTTCAACCAGAGTTAAATAAAGGTGAAGAATTCCCTTCAAAAGCGACTTCGGCCCTGGAATTGCTTCGAATTTCCTGTTCACTCCGCCGTGACTGGATATCTCTGCATTTCCGGCAGCGAAGGCTTGATTCGCTTCCTCTTTCGTCGAACGAGATAGAATATCACTCCACCAATCAACGCGAGACCTGCTAGGCCGCCAACGACTCCTCCAGCAATGGCACCTGCGTTGGAATGATGATCCGGCTTGCCAGTCTGAGACGGAGAAGCGCCGGCTGCGGTGGAGGAGGGTAATGAGGTCCCCGTTGTCTTCAGTCTGCCATCCAGTGGAATTGCACCGACGCCTGTCGCCGTGCCAATCGCAGCCATAGATCGTGATACAAAGGCGTTGGTCGCGGTCGAAACTGGGGGAGGAATAGACCAGGAGTTTCTCGACGCCGTGTTCACGTTCGAATAAGCAGCTGCGATGCCAGTGGGCCCAGCTTGAACAGTGACGATGTCTGGTCGCGTGTTGCCATTCAGTCTCGCTTGTGCGATGGAAATCTGCGCGTTGTCCAAGTCGTACACAGCGTACAAGCTTGACATCACTGAATATCCCATATAGCTTGTTTGGGCCTTGGAAGAAGATCGTGCAATCTGAAGGTAGCAAAGTGGCTCGGTACTGTTCGGCCAGTACCTTGCTTCCTTGGTCGTCTCGTTGTAAAGCGGCACAACAAATTGGCTCGTGTTGACTTGAATTGTGATTTTGTTGGCGAACGTTAGTGATAAGAAATCGTCTGGATTCACGCGTGAACAATTAACGAGACTATCACTGCCATCGATTGATAAGGCCTTGATCATCGTGTCGTAATACGAGGGCGGAATATTCCAAGCAGGACCACCTGTATTCACAATTGCAGCCACCGAGCTATCAGAATAGTTGAAGGCTGGGTTATCGTCGGATCCGCCCGACCAGAGCCTAGTAGTAGCGCCGGCCACCGTCACATTCGCGGCAGTGACTGGGACCCAAAAGTCAAGGATCTTGCGATCGGTTACGTTATTCGACACGACTGGCAGAATGTTCACGGTGGCTAATGGCCCAGAAAACCTCGACCTGTCAATACCGCCGAACACGACTGTGCCCCAGTCGCTTCCTATCAGCACCAGTCAGCCGTTCCCTACACCATTCTGTACCTCTAACTTACTGGCATCGCCTGAAGACAAAGAATATAGTCGGCTGTTGATTGATCCCGATTTCGCCAACACTTCAGGGATATTGGGATAGGTCTCGTTCACATTCGACACAACCTCATCCGACGAGTAGCCTATGCCCATGACGCCAGTCGAAAAGCCGGTAGTCGGCAGCCCCTTCTGAGCCAATCCAAATCGTACTCCAGTGATATTAACATTGCCAATACCGATCGTATCTTGAACATAGGGCCCAGTTGCCGTAGTGCCGTCGTTGAATGTAATATTTAACGTGGAAGCAGGGTCGATTGTCCTGTAGGTATTCGATTCGGCGAAGGCAAAGGTACCGCCCACACAAGCTGAGGAAGTCGTAGGCGGTAGCATGCAGCTATCGGCGTTGGTACCATCCAAATACAAGTCGCCCGCACCGGTTTTCAAGAAGACTGTCTGATTTCGGGGAGGTGTTCCCACGGTTACTGTAGCCTCAAGGTTAGGAGGGCATATCAAGTTCGAAGAGGCTTGCTCGAGCTCACTGTTTATGAAGTAGCCTTGAAATCCTGCACCGTATGCTTGGACGTCAAATATATTGGTGCCTACCGTACTTGCCCTTCTCTCAATTGTTGCTGCACCTATGGATTGCTTAATGGCACGGACAGTATGACCCTCGGGCTTCGCAAGCTGGAGCTCAAATAATCCACACGCAGGCCCCAGAATGAATAAGAGCAAGACCGGGAGCAGCATCATCAGTACAAATTTGTGCGAGGATCTCGATGAGAGGAAGTTTCGGTGATGTGTACTCAACGTAGAGCTCAAAGCAAAGTAGGACATGGTCCAAGAGCCGCGGCAACATGAAAATTATATCAAGGCCGATTGTCGATACCTACCAATGGAGCGATTAGAGCGCGTGCGGCCCATGTTCGCCCAAGACTTGGATGAAGTCGCAGCAAAGATGACGCAGGATACTTTCGTGCGCTTCAAGTGCTCGTTCGGTGGCGAAGCCTTTGTTCCTGAGGACCTCCGTCTTCCAGTGCCAGGCCTTGCGTCAAACTTCGATTCCCTTGACACGGGTATTAAAGATTCGAAGCTAATTCTGAAAGTGTGAGGAAGGCATTATCGTGAAAATTTTCCCAGCTGACATGAAGTACAGGGACGAGATCCGCAGGATATTTGATCAGCAGATCGATGCGCTCTTCAGCCTCATAGATCAACAGCCCCAGATCGTGCAGAGCAGGTTTCCTTACGAGATGATAGTATGTGCTCCTTGTGAAGCCCGTAGGAGGTCGTGACTGACATCATGCCGAGCGTAGAACTATTTGATCCTTTTCGGTGGATTGAGCAGCTCTGCTTATGTGCAACGGCGAGTTCGAGATCGATACGAGCATGTCATAGAGCCAAAATTCAGGAACGCCAGAAACATGAAAATGCTCGTCGCTTCAGAGCCGTAAGTGCAAATGCATCGCAGAAGGTCGTCCGCTGATAAGATCATAGGCAGCTCGCAGTCGTGCACGGATTGGTTCTAGCTCGAGCCCAAGCATACAGAACCGGTACAGAGTTTCTGGCCCAGAGGTGTTCTCCCGTGAGTTACGGCATTGTGTGTCGAGAGCCGTACGACCCGAAAAGGCATCAAGGCCAGATGATCGTGCAGGATGAACACGACAAGCGTCTATGGGCTGCGGACCAGATTGCCTGGATCGTGAAGAAGGTATTTGGCCTGGCGCGTTTCCTTCTGCGCAGTGTGATTGATATGACTAACGGAAATACGAGGGTGACGTTTTCAGTGTCAATCAGGGTGCCAGCCAATTCTACCAAATGAAGCTTGGCATTGGTGAAGACAGGGTCCCATGGAAGATGCGGATAGCCATGTCGACGCTCGCAGTGGACCGTTTGCCAAAGACCATCAAAGACGCTGGCGCAAAGATTGCATGTGAAGTGAAATTCGCTCTCAATGCCAGAGACTTCAGGATGAAGAATGCTCGATGGTACCAGCTCAAAGCACCATATCTGACCGGAGAATTCGAAGTCCGTTTAATCCTTGGAACGGGCCTAAAATTCGAAGTGTGGTCCAAAGATCGCTTGTTGAGTAAAGGCCATGAAGAAATTCGGGTTGACTGGGTTCAGGCCAGTGGAATACCATCGTTCACCGCAGCGAAAGACGGAAGCCGTATGTATAGAGTTCAGCAGAGCAGCTAAGCGTTGCTCATCACTCAATCCATTGAAGAAGGGTGCTTGCGCTGAGACCACGATTGTCATCCAGCCGAGATTCTGTTCGGCAATGGAAGCCGTTATCAGTGCCGCGTCTTCCACGGCGTGAGGTCATTGTTGTCCCCAGTATCCCAGCAATCACTGGCGAGGCACGAGCCACACAGCGTCGACATCGCAGTGGCAGTTGTCGAGATAACTCTTCGATTACCGAAAATGAGGTGCTTGAGGCCGAGATGTGACGGCAAAATTGGAATGAGATGAGGTCGCACGGGAGCTAACCTCTAGTTCCCGCGTCACGTGCATCGCACGAGTCCGCACGGTCCCTGTAAAAGAACGCGGATCCAAAGACCAAGACAAAGACCAAAATCCCACCAACAACCACCACCACCAGATTGTTCAAAGAATTCCTAATCGCTCTCTGTGCCAACGCTCCAAATGCCAAATCCAAAGTCTTCGCCCCATTCCGATGTGGAAAGGCACTCCCTCTAAGGGACTTCTTTGCCTAGAAACTCGCACAAAGGCTCCTCCCATCCACTCCCTAGCCAATATTCCAACAATTTCTCCCCCTGGGGGGGGGGGGGGGGGGGGCCCTCCTCCCTTATAGCAGCATAATGCGCCCGATATTGCCGTTCTCGTATTCTTCAATAATAGCAGCTTTGCTCTCTGCTGTTCCGAAACCAGCCTCCACCACATCCACTCTACTGTATCCCAAACGAAGAATGCGACCGAGCATCCACGGATCCTGTGTATCTCAGAATTGCAACCCATGGGGATTCTCGATCCTATAATACTTCTCTAGCTCAAAGCTAGGACTGTAAGGATCCGTGTCAAGGGGGTGGGGTAAAGCTATACTGATTCTCCCGTGGTAAACGCTGCCTAGAAAGTGGTGGGTATATATAAAAACTGTCTCCAGGCTGAAAGACATATACGGACTCCCGGGCTACCTGCCCATCCTAACTTCAACTCTTCAAACAGTCAACGTGACGCTCCCCTTCAAATCCCTCGAACTGGCACCCACGGAGAGCGTGTACTCCCCACTGGCCAGAGCCCACTGCTGAGCGACAACATCCCAGTAGCTCAAGTCTCTCCTCCGAACGCTGAACGTCACGCTCTTCTCCTCGCCTGCTTCGAGCGTGACCTTTTCAAAACCACGAAGTTGCTTTGGAGGCTGCTTGGCAGCAGCAGGATAGCTGACATACAACTGGGCGACCTCTGCTCCAGCAAGGGAGCCGGTGTTCTTGACGGATGAAGTAACCGAGATGACCTCATCCCAGAGATCTGCTTTTCCTCCGAGGGTGAGGCGCCCAGTTGGATATGTGGATGCTAGGGCGGTCTTGTTCGTGGTGGAGAGGGCAACGTCGCCGTATGAGAAGGTCGTATAGGAGAGACCATGTCCGAAAGGATAGCGCACGGACTTGTTGTACGCGTCGAAGTAACGGTAGTCGATGTGCACGCCCTCGGTGAAATTGCATTGAGCGGTGTAGCAGATGCTGACGGGATAGTCGGATTCGTTCTTGGCGATAGTGTATGTCAGTTTTCCGCTCGGGTTGACATCGCCGTAGAGAACATCTGTGATGGCGTTACCACTCTCCTGGCCGAGGAGAGATCCGTAGAGAACGGCCGTGATGTTTTCGTTCTCGATCCAGTTGTCGACGAGGCGGGCGCCAGGCGTGTTGATGACGACGATGGTGTTGTTGCAGTTGCTGGCTACGGTGGTAATCATCTCGTCTTGGCTTGTGTGGTAGAGAACAGTGCGGTCAGCACCTTCCCCGGAGGCAGAGTTGATGAAGACCATACACACGTCGGAGTCAGCGGCGTAGTCGGCAAAAGATGGGGTAAGGCCAGTTCCAGAACCGAAGTTTATACCACCGGTGCTACTACCGCCGCCACCACCGCTCATTGAAGAGTTGGAGCTGGCTCCGCTGGGAGCACCGCCAGCCGAGGTCGAGTTGCCGCCCATGCTGGCCATACCGCCACCTCCACCCATACCCATGCCAGAGCTGCTAGAAGACGTGTACGTATCATTCAGGATGTATCGAACCATGCTGCCATCTTCTCTAGCGCGAGCGACGATGGCTTCGTATGGACTAACAAGGGTACTCATGGAGGCCTGTCCACTGCCACCTCCAGTTGCAAAGTGTCCTTGATATGGGTCATCCGTGCCAGTGACGCCGAATGCGAAGTTCGGTCCATAGATACCAGGACCAGCGTGAGCGCCAAACAAGCTAATAACTATTGGCCTGTTCAAGGACGTGCTGAGCTTGGTCAACGGCAATCCAAAGCCACTGCTGCTGTTGCTGTTCTTCAAGAGAACGAGTGAGTCCCGTCCAATCGTACGAATGAGCTTGGCATGGTTTCCTCGGACGCTGCGATAGTCAAGAGGGGTGCCAGCTTCAGGCTGCTTGCCGTCGTCCAGGCCAACGTAGTAGTACCCAAGCACGTTTCGCACGGCCATGTCGTCAAGCCTGGCCTGGGTGAAAGAGCCGTTCGCAATGCCGGCATTGAGGATACTAGTAGTCCAGTAAGTGGAGCTCCCGTAGTCCAGGTTTGCGTTTGCGCTCTTGTAGCTTGTAGTTTGAGAGTTGACGTCTGGCATGACCGCACCTGGAAAGCCAAGCTCAGCCTTGAGGAGGTTTCCGAGCTCGCTATTCTCGCAGGACAAAGTGCCGTTCACTTGTATCATCGCACACATGATGAACCCGACTCCAGCGTTGACGGCGTCTGCGAACGGCCACAGGTAAAGCTCATGGATGGTCTTGTCGTCGGCATTGCTGGAGTATGGCGAGGTTGTGGTGGAGACCGTGCCAGACGTTCGGTTGGTTTCTTGTTCTAATGCACTGCATTAGTATAGGTTTCTTTTGGTCAAAAGAATGATCATACCGTTCAAGAGGAAGTGTCGACCAACAGTCACAACGCCTGCTGAGTCTGAAGTGCACACAGTCGTTAGCGCCAATGTTCAAGTTATGGAGCGGCACGACTGTTGAACTTACTCATTCCTTTGACGGCGTGTGCGGTTGCAATACCGTTCAAGTAAGGGTCTGGAGTGAAACCCTCGCCTGATCTGCCACCGTATGGGGTTCGGCCCAAGGCTCCTGACAGCGGACCATTGATGAGGTTGTAGCCTTCAAGGTAGAACTCTCGCCCGGCTGCATATGCCTCATCCTTCATGTGGTCGCGGTTCCATGTCATGGCCAAAGCCTGGCCCATGGCGAAGGCCGAGACGAAGTAATATTGGTTGATACCAGCGAAGCCGTCCTTGCTTCCGTAGGCGGTCCAGGATGTACCGTTAGATGCATTGGTGATGGAACTACCAGTAATGATGGAGACCTTCTGGGCGTTGGTGAGCTTCGAGACGAAAGCCTTGGCCTTGACATATGAATCTTGATAGACACCGAGATCGACGTCGCCGGAGGAGAGGAGCCATGAGGGAGAGGTCGAGACATTTGCGGCGCTTGTGCTGGCCAGCAGCGCGCCCAGGACGGCGCACGTCCTCATCTTGACAGAGCAAAGGAGCAGTGGAATGAGAAAGCGTGAGAGAGGACAGGAGACCAAGAGCTGATACTCACCGGTGCATTGTGGCTTCATATGCTATGGCTCTTCGCTTATTGAAGACGACACGCGCTGGACTACGCGGCCTCGACGGCGGACGCAGATGTCCGTCTGGCATCGTCGTCGTCGTCGTTTGGCGCTATACTTGAAGTCGAAGGATACCCGCGACGCAAGGCGATTCCCCGGTAGTAGGAAATCGGGACCACCTTACCGGCCGAGGCACAGGCGCACAACCCCAGGGGCTTGAACAACGCCTTCTCGTTGTCTGGATCCCGAGTCGCGTTTGAAGTGGCATCTGAATGCGATACTCTGCTCTGAAGGGATGAGTCGTTCTGAATATCTGACCATCCACTACCATTGTCGAGAGTGCGTTGATGGTGATGGGGTGGAGAGGAAGAAGGTGACGACGGCAAATTTGGTTTCAGGGAGACCGCGCTTGGACCGTCAAATGAGGGCTTCGGGCGATTTCTGCTGAATCACCCAGATCGAATGCAGGTACTGCATCCGGTTAGTGGCTTGGCACACACACAGCCACTTCCACAGGTGGAAAGGACAGTTAAAACCATTTCATTTCCTCAATCGACCTCTCTCTCATCACCTGATGTGAAATCCGCGTCGAGAAATAATGACGAAACAATCTGACAGGCCAAGGTCCAGACTCCGCTGCTCAGCCTCAGTCATACATTGCTGGTCTGTGCTTGGAACACGTCGGCTCATCGTGCCAAGTATCCAGCAAGGCGATGTCATTCTCGGCCCAACGAGCAGAGCACGAGGACAGAACGACCATATCGGAATTCTTTCGGTCGCTCAATCATCTTTGCCTTCGGTGAGCGACCGGGTCTTCTGCCAGCCACGAGATTCTCCATCCCGCCCCCCTCCCTGTGACGATCAGAGCAGCCGATGTTTTCGAACAGTCCCTGTAAAGGCTCCGGGAGCGGAGCTCATTACGCCGGTGTCGATGACTGCAGAGCGGAGCCTCAACCACGCCTCGATGCCGTGTCAGCGTGGCCGCAGGGAACCAAGTCTGACGCGCCAGCAAAGCTAACGCCTATTCACCTTACAAATCCGGCCTTAACGGATGCAATCGTTCCCCGGATATATCGCGGCTCTGCGTATCGCTCTTCTTGCTCCAGATTTGCGGCATAGCATGTTCTGGAACTCTCATACCAACTGCACGTGGGATGGATTGCCTCCTGAGGCTCCGCACTGCTGCTTTTATCAATGCAACGTGTGTCGATCCAGGTATAACTCAGTCCGTCAACCAGCGCCTGGATTCCTGCGTACTCCCGCTTGCGGGGCCCGAATCTCTTTCGATGTGTCTCATTGCAGACGTCCGTAAATGGCACCTCGTCTTCGAACCGAGTGCGGGACACGATAGCGTATTCTGGAATTTGGCTTCGGTCGGGTGTTCATGCCACGAATGTATCGTGACACTTCATCGTGACAGTGCGAGCCCGCGCATTCGAAAGGCACTGTCGAGAGATTGTTGGGTTCCAAAAAGCGCCAGCCCGTGATAACTACATGGTGCGTTATAGGCCTGGAGAATCAAACATCCTGCGCTCATCTTAACCAAACTAAAGTAAGGAACAGAAGTGAGCTACCAGCAGCTAGGTAATCCGTACAAGTGCTCTTCTTCTTCTCGACAGATAAGAACATGTGAGGTCGAGATAGTGATCCGAAGGCGAAGCAGCCGTTACATGCCGTGTAATCAAACCTGGTAACATCCATGTCTTGAACAGGAGGTGGCTCAAACCAGAGTGGGTATCAACTGGTCGCAAATATATGATACCCTTGCGACTTGGATCCCCGCATCTCCAATGAGCCGAAAGGCGTCACTCCGTGGTATCTTGCGAATAATGACAGAAGGCCAAGGCGCACCATACAGAAGACAAATCTTGTCCTTTGGTTGAGTTCTGGCTGGGAACCATACAAACAACGTTTCGGAACGTGTACTGGTCGCTGAAAGTATTCTTCCAGGCTCGATCAATTCCAGTGGGTGCCGAGCAGGAGAGGAAATCTTCTACAGAAGATGCAAAGCGGCGTTGTTAGCAGCACCTTTCGTTAATACTTTGACAGCATAGGGGGGTAGAACTGCTTGTTCGGTTGGATCGCTTCCTCATATGAGGGAGGTGGCCAGTCTATTCCATTTTGAAGAACGCGAACTGCTGTTGAGCGGCTTTGGAAACTTGCTGCATGTCGACGGTAATATGCGCAGATTTGTCGTGTGGAGGGAACTGTCGGAGTCGCTAAATGCCTCTAGGAGTCTGTCACTAGATCCAATGAACTCCGAGCACCGCGACAACCATAACGCAGGAGCGTCGCTGCTGCGTATTCCATCCAGCACGAGTTCACCGCCTCGGGACATGGCTATCTCCTGCCGTAGTTGGGCCGGAATGGCAAGTAAGGAGGACATGACCCAGCTGCGACTGCGCTAGAACGTTGATGATCGACCCGAAGATCCTACCAGTGCATTGCAATTCCTCCGTTGTCCTACCCCCTTATTATGCATTGAAAGCGTCCAACTTTGCGGCGACGGACACGCCTTTGTATCTCAGTGACTGCTCTGATCGCATATACACGATCACGTTGGTCACCGCCATGTTGACGCCAGGTAAGTCGGAGAGTGTCGGCAAAGACACCTCGATATTCGGGATTGTCTGATTGCATGTGCGAGCGTGTTTGCCCAAGTACCCAGAAGCCCTCGCGAGAATCCCCAACCAGTCCGGAACTCCGGTTGTGAAGCCAAGACGAGAAGCCATGATCGAATTGAGTGCCGTGCTGCCCACTTTGCATCCATTGCTAGCGCGCATATCTGTACCATCCAGAGTCGTTGAAACCAAGACCGCTCACTAAGGGTCTGCAAAGCCTGTATGGATACCGCGAGTGCGTCCATGGCATCTCTAATCACGGTTGGCCTGCAGCAATTGCACGAGTATAGCGTTCTACGCAGTGCCTTGCCAAGTCGTGGATCAAGCATACGCATTCTCTTGGACGGGTTGTCTTCTGACCTGTATCCATCCTCTGGCGTGGATTCAGCGTCTGGGTCCGACTCGTCTCCGGATCGCTGTTGTACTAGCCCGAGGAGGCGACATGCGAGATAGTCTTGGTCATCGCTCTGTCCAAGGAGTGCGAGTACACCATCGGCATGCCAATCTATCTCGCCCATTTTCATGACCTGATTGGATTGATCGGCATCGTCTGCCTGATTGATGCAGACCGCGTCAGCCCAGAGGCGTCTCTCACTCGCATGCCGTCGGAAACATTGCAATGCTTGGTGTAGCGACTTCGTAATGAGTATGGTTGAGTTCCTGTTTGTCATAATAGAGTGAACGAGGCTGGAATCTTCCCAAGCGTAGGGCAACGCTTCGTATCCGACGGTAAGTCGAGCCGCACTGTAACGAGCTGGACCACTTGCCCTTTCCACAAATCTCCAGCTTCAAGTGCATTGTCCTCCCAGAATGTGTCGTATTCCTCTCCTTGTTCGCTGGTATGACTGGATGCTTCCTCAGGCGTACTTTTCGCTTCATCGTTCTCTTGAAAGCTACCCTCAGACGAAGTCTCCATATACAGCGCGGCCACCGAGGAACACCTGGGCTCTTCAGGAGCAGACGCTCTTGCACTGCCAGTCTCGAGTGCTCTCCTTGACGGCGTACACGGCTGGTCTTTGCGGGAGTGCCAGACGTTCGATGTCAGGCAGGGCCCTCGTCTTCACTGAGATCGCCAGAACTGACACTCTCCTCAGAACACGTCTCCCACAACACGGAGCCTCCACTTAGATCCTATCCTGTTCAAGCTCCGACTCCGATCCAGTCAAAAATTTGTCAAACAAGATGGCTCTGGCACAGATGCTCATATCGAACCAGCGTCCAGACTGACATGCTCCAGTCCAGCATATAGCGACTTTCCAAATTCGCCGGGCTCCAATACCAGAATGCGGATTTTGGCAGTCTCCAAGTGGTTGGTATGCATACCCTTCCGACGGGGATAGGTTGCTCGGCCCTGCATCACTTTGGCGGTCCATTCTTGCTGGGATGAAGCAGCTTCGTGAATGTGCGTCTCGTGTACGGAGCGAGAATAAGAGCAGTCTGAGCTGTTGTGCATGTGACCCGAGCACCTTTTCCTGCAAGGCTGTTAAGGTAGGCGCCACGCGAGCACACTACTCCCTTTCCGGCCTAGGTAGCCAACTCCAATGCCACAAAGTCTCGTGAAGTGAATGAAACTGCCATCAAGAACAGAAAGAATCAAACGTCCTGCGCTCATATTAAGTACACCCTAAGAACCACAAGAAACTAAAAAGAAAGTCATCTGTACAATCCAATCCATCACCACACTTACCCAGCAAACAACGCATAGTTCCAACCATTCGTCTAATTAAGCCTTCCTTTTTTGACAGCTGTATTTTTCCTTTGCTTGGATCCATGACCCATGACCTCTTCTACCGTGAAACGCCTTCGCTATGCCCAAGAAAATGCATGTTCCAAGCCAATCGTCGCTGTGGCGGTTTACCCGGCGACGAGCACCCACAATAGGAAGAATATCATTAGCACCCCGAACATCTTCGCAACCAGCCATCGGTTGCCTTGCACTCTTGACCAGTATTTCATCAACTCTCTCTGCGCGCCTTCGACGTTGTCTACGACGTCGTCGGTATTCGCATCGATTCTCTGAATTTGTTCGGCTTGCTCGGAGACCATTTGCGCTAGCTGGCCAAAGATTCCTCCCAGTTCGGAGATGGTGCGTTCGATTGCCTCGATTGCTTCGCCACGTTGTTGGATGTACGCGTTCGATGATGAGCCTTCTTCCATGAGCTGAAGCTGTTGTTGCGAGGCGGCTCCAGGAGTGTTGCCGTAGAGAGCACTACCAGAGCCAGAAGAGGGATCGAGTGAAAGGACGTCCTGTTGCGCAGCAGAGCGTTGTTGGCCGGGTTGTGGACTCTTCCCTCGACTGGGAGCCTGGTATAGCGGGCTGTCCGTCCTTCCGACTTCCAATCCAGCCTGTCCACCTTGCTGGTTCACCGAGCTGACGAAATTGTCTTGCCGACTCCTGCTAGCCTGGATATTCTTCGTCCGAACCTCCAGCACCTCCTTGAAGTTGGCCGCGACATCCGCCACTCTCCCCTGCAGCAAAACCACCACATTCTTGTTATGCTCTCCCTCCTGTCCCACGCTTCCGCTGCCACCCTGATTTGTAGCCCTCTGCAACTGCTGCAACTGTCCAATCTGCTGGTTCAACCCCGCCAAATCTTGCTTGATAACAAACGTCAACTCCGCAATCTCCACGGGTCGGTCATCAAACAGCGTCTTCCTCTTCGCCAGCTCCCCTAATCTCTGCAGTTTCCCCATTGTGGCGGAAATCCCCCGTCCAATCGCAGCGGCATTGCGCGCGAATTCAGACCTCTGCTTTCTAGTCGGAGGAGTCGCGGCGCCGTTCTGTAACAGTGGTTTGGATTGAGGTTGAGCGCCTGCTTTGCGTTGTCGCGCGAGAGATTTCTGGGCTTGCGAAAGGATGCTGCGGAATTCGGGCGTGCGGTCTTGGATGGAGGCGTGTGTGGCGGCCATGGTGGTTGTCGCGAGCATCAGGGCGGAGTATGTGAGGCAGACTGGTGGCTGGCTGGCTTTGTCGTGGTGAGGTCTCGTGCAGTGCGTAAGAGGCGCTGTTCAAGGTGGCCTTTGAGGAGGTGGCCAGCTGGCCGAGTCGCTGCCTACGAAGTCAAGTTGCGTTCCGAGAATGCGCAAACGCGTCGATATGGGTCGCGAGATGTATCAGCGTGTTGAGAAGGCGAGAAAATGGCCGTCAGGCGCAGTTGGAGAAAGTTGTCGCGGAGATGCAGGAAAGATGCAGGATCAACGTTGCGTACGACGTCGCTACTATTCTGGAACGTCCGGGGCGACGTCAATGACAGCCACGTGACACGGACCGGCTATCTCAAAATCCGGCCAGGACCGGGTAGGACATGGAATTGTTACGGGTCACTATTTTAATTAGTCAAATGTGATACATTTCCCGTCCAAAGTATTCTATTCTACACGCCCATCATGAGCCGCTTGCCAATCTCCAAGCTCTCATGGGCAGAGCCTGCAGCTTCAACGCTTGCGGCTTGATAAAGCCATAAAACGTAATCAACCCAAATGCAACACACAATATGTTTACAATGTAGTATCCATCTCTTTGGATATCGCAAGTCCCACCGCCATTGACGCATCTATGCTTCTCAGCTTCCGCAACACAGCTGAAAGCCTGCGTGATAAGATCTCCTTTGAGATCTGCGGGAGGTGTTGTAGGAGGTATGCAGGTGGCTTTCGAAAAGGCGTCCACGAAACGCAGTATGAAGAATCGTGGGAAGGTTCCGCCGAGATTCGAGACCCTGTGATCATGTCAGTCAGATGGTGGACCAAGACGTCGAGGTGAAGGACAACTTACGTTGCTAACAATGTCATGTACGTCCCGCCGATTGCCGGATCGGAAATCTTCGCGTGGAAGGCAGAGATCGCGACGAACATGACAGTGTTTGTGAATGTACTGTACACATTCGTCACAATGATCAGGAGTAAGTACGGCAGGTTGGTTCCACTGGCCGGGAAGAACATGACAACCAGTTGCGCCACCACAGCCGCTGCCAGCCTGCCAACGAAAGCCCAGCACCACACTCGAATGGGCTGGTATTGTTCAGACCATTTGCCGGCGTAGTATCCGAGACCCATTTCGAATGGAAAATCGATGAGAACAGTCAAAGCGAGGTCCTCTTGCGAAAAGCCCTTGTCGAGGAGCTTCAGATTCGTTACGGCATCGTTGGCCTGGAATCCAATCTTCGCAATCAGGTGGATGATGATGAAGATCTGGATATTCTTCAACTTCAGAATGCCTCCCATGATCTTGTAGACATCCCAGATGCCCTCCCTCTCCTTGGTCCGCTCCTCTTTCTTGAGAATGGCAAGACCGAGTGTGACAACCAGATAGAACCAGCCCCAGAAGGTAAGATAGGAGTTCAGAGTCATGAGGCCAACATCCTCCGGCGTGGAGCGGAAGTATGCGTTTGCGAAGTCCGGTGATGAGAGCGCCAGGAAGACGGTGTATGACAGGAATTGACCGCCAGTGAGACCCACGGTCTGTGCTGTGGAGGCGTAGGACAAGTTCGATTGAGATAGTAGTGTCAGTGCCCATCCATCCACCGCGATATCCTGTGTAGCACACATGAACACCAATGCAAACCACCAGCCGGTGAAGCCCCAGATTCCAGCTCCTCCGTTTTCGCCAGCCTGCACCATCATCTGTTCCGCTTTCGTGCCCAACCAAATCATACCAAATCCACTCAACATCTGAATCGGCAGAATCCAGCTCTTCCTCCTCCCGACCTTCGTGCTCCAGACCGCATCCACAATAGGACTCCATAACAGCTTCAGACTGTATGGATAGCTCGCAAGCGAGTACACTCCGATTTGCGCATAACTCAGATGGCTCTTCAACAAGAAAGGCACACTACCACCCGCCAATCCCATCGGTATCCCCTGCAAGAAATAGAGCAACACCAAGAGCAAGAAATTCCGTTGATCTTGCTTCGGCAGCTCAAAGAAGCCCTTGCTTTCTTGTCCTCCTTCATTCTTGCTAGGTGTTTCAGGTGGCGGATGGTCCAGACTGAACGTACTCCTCCCCATCAACCTTTCTGCCGCTTCCGCGGAGTCTTCGCCGGGGATCTCGAGGGAGGCATGTTTCCGCTGCCGTGCTTCGAGTATGGTGCCATTCATATCTGCGTCGCCAGTGTATCCGTTCGCTAGTTCTGATATCGATGATGAAGTAGACAGCGAGCCGATCTTTCGACGAGTGCTGCTGCGGAGCGAGCCTCCTCGCGGGTTGGGAGAGCGAGACTTGGACTTTCTATTCGGCATCTGTTCGTCGTCGCCCTCGTCGTCTTCGTCGTCTTCGGTGAGATGGTCGTATAAATTTGGATGTTCTAGTCGATCGAGTCGTTCAGACAATCTTCCTTTGCCTCTTCCGCCGGGTTGTATGTTGTCTAACTCGAGGTCCCCAATCCCACTCTCCAGCCGATCTGCTTGGGTATGTTCTCGCTCTTCTCTCGCTCGTGCTTCGTGGACCGGTGGGGATGGATTGAACTGAGCGCTCCCGGCGGCGATCAGGCTGAGTCTGCTTGTTGTTGAATCGCCCATTCACGGCGCCTCGCGGCAAGTGAAGCAGAGTGCGCCCCGCCAGTCGGGTCAAGGACACGTATGAATCTGTCCAGCGCGGTGCCTGAGATCACCACTGGTCCCTGCAGCGGGATGAGGCCCGGCGCGGAGAGCTTAGCCTTGGCAAGCGAGCACGTGAGCAACGTGAGTTTGCTTCACTGTGGCTTCGTACATGTACCTTACTTCATTTCCGTCCTGCGCCACGACATCAACTTTCACATGTAGCGAAAGCGCAAGGTCTTACGCTGCTAGTGCGAAAGCCTCACGAAGCCTTTGTTCGCCTTGCTGGCTTTGTTCAGCAGAGCCTTCAATAAGGCCCGCAAGCACGGAAGCATCGACACAACTAACGCTATCGCAATTATGGATGTGCCAGGCTTCCGCGAGCGCTCTACAATCAGTAACGCAGATGCAATAATGCCCACATGACAGGGCTCGACTACGCCATCAGGCACGGAAGACTGGCGAGGATGGCATCCGCCTTATTCAATTCTCACCAAAGAGTACCGCGACCAATATTCGTTGTTCGCTCTTGATGACTTACTCGCCCTGGATACCTTAGCCGGTCAGTGATGTCACTGTCAATGTCAAAGGAGTAAAGCGTCTTAGGTCGCTGAGACCAAAGGCGGCTAAATCTAAATCACCCAAGACGTCCGGGCGTGGCTGGGGTCTCCACTACCCCTTGACTTTCCAGTTTCCCTTCGCTGCTCCTCCAAACATCCGCCACCATCTATCGCCAACTATCACCAATTCTCACCATCTGTTATTATCTTCCAATACTCCTAATGTCGGAGACACCGAGCTACCGTCTGTGATGCAAGAAGATCATTGCGGGCCCCAAATGAAAGATGTCATGTCCAAGACCTACAGGAACTGCGCTCAGTCTGACTGGAGGAGAATATCGTGAGAGAGTACCGCGGACACGGCAGAAAGCACTGGCCTATACGATATACCGGGTTGGAGCGAATGAGGATCCATGAACCAATAGCGGAGAGTTGTCATGTTCGAATCGTCGGATGCTGAGACTAGACGCCGTGAGAAATTGGCTCGGCGCATTGCGAGTGCCTCTCCTGCCATGCCAACTAATGCCTCTTGGATCCTTGGCGATCGTCTCTCCCAAATAAAGTCCTTGCCAGCACCTGTCAGCGCAAGCATGGCCGTCTGCTACAAGCACCAATTCCTGTCTTTTTTCTAATACTACTCCATTCTTGCTTCGACTGACTTTTCTACTCCGGCTCTCTTTTCTGTTCACCAGTCTTTCGTTGCCACGCTCGCTTGTCCAACCATGTTTATTTCACTCGCCGCAATCGCAGGTCTGGCAACCGCCGTCTCCAGCCGAATCATTCCACGACAGTCAGGAAGTCTTCCCGCCGTGACGACCAAAGGCAACGCCTTCTGGGCCAACGGAGAGAGATTCTACATTCGCGGTGTCGCATATCAACCCGGCGGTGCGGCTGATGCACAAGACCCACTGCTTGACCTCACCTCTCTGCGTCGGGACGTCGAGCGCTTCAAGGAGCTGGGCATCAACACAATCAGAATATACACGATCGACAACAGCCAGAACCACGATGAGGCTATGCAGTTGCTGGACGATGCGGGCATCTACCTTGCTCTTGACGCCAATACACCCCACTACTCTCTGAACCGCGCGGATCTGTCCTCGTTGCATGCTTCTTACAACCAGGTCTATCTGCAGTCTGTCTTTGCTACGATTGATGCATTCGCTGGCTACAGTACGTCTCCAAACCACGTCACACCAAGGGCGGCATACTGATAAGGTTCTAGACAACCTTCTCCTCTTCTTCTCCGGCAACGAAGTCATCAACGCCCGCAACAACACCAACGCAGCTCCCTACATCAAGGCCGTCACTCGCGACATGAAGAACTACATCCGCGCCCAATCCTCCCGTCCCATCCCCGTCGGCTATTCTTCTGCCGATGTCGCCGAGAACATCGAATCCCAAGCCCTCTACTTTGCCTGTGGAAAAGACGAAGTCGCCCGCTCCGACTTCTTCGCTTTCAACGATTACAGCTGGTGCGACCCCAGCAGCTTCACGCAATCCGGATGGGATCAGAAAGTCAAAACCTACTCCAACTACAGCGTCCCCCTCTTCTTGTCCGAATTTGGATGCATCACCAATACCCGTGAATGGGAAGAAATCGGCGCTCTCTACTCTACCGAGATGACCGGTGCCTACTCTGGAGGTCTCGCTTACGAGTACACCCTCGAAGCCAACGGATATGGTCTTGTCGAGATTGAAAATGGCGAGGTCGTTCCTAATGATGACTTTGATCGCCTCAAGGCTGCTTATGCTAAGACTCCTAACCCGAAGGGTGATGGCGGTGCTCGCACTACTACTACCGTCCCTCAATGCCCGGCTGAATCCGAAGAGTGGCACGTCGCAACCACCCTTCTTCCGGAGATCCCCGTGGGCGCGAAGAAGTACTTTGAAAGCGGAGCTGGTAAGGGACCTGGTCTGAAGGGTGCTGGCAGCCAGTGGGCCGGTGAACCCTCCGCCACCGACCCAGATCTCAGCAACGGTGTCTCGACTACCGTGGCGCAAACGACGTCCTACAGCAGCAATTCTTCGAGCAGCAGCAGCGGCAGCGGCAGCACCGGCAGTGATTCGCAATCGGCTGCTTCCCCGAGCAATCTTTCGATCAGCCTGGTCACGATCGTCGCGCTGGCCATTGCGTTTGTCATCGATCTATAGGGTTTTGAGGAAGCTTTTTCTTTCTTGTCTCGCGTACTGGCGAATGATTGCACTAATGCATATGCATGTTGTACGATATAGAGAGAGAGAGAGAGAGAGAGAGAAAGGAACACAACAAAGCAAATGCACATGCGCAGAAAGTCGACGGCCTCCGAGGCAGCTTCGGCACTCCACGTGCAGACAGACGGCTAGCAGTCTCACACCCGCTCCGCAAGGATTTCGCTTATATACCATCATCCTCTCGCCGTCGTCGGGACTTACGAAAACTTGGGTCTCTCAACCAGCCAAAGACGAAGTGGGGACTGAAGACAGTAGTTGAAACGGAACAGGCTCGCACGCCGACTTTGAAAGGAGACATGCGCTCTGCCTTCACTTTCCTCCTTTTTCCCCTCTCTCTCTTTTCTAAAAGTCCTCGTCGCGGCAATGTCCTCTTCTCTCTACACGCTCCAGTACTGTCCAGAAAAAGGGAAATGCCTCCTCGCCCATTATTCAGGGGAGATGTATTATTATTAGAGAATCTTCCTAGCCTTCCCCAGCCTACCAGAATTCTTTCAAAAGATCTTACAGGAAGTAATAGATACTCCCCTCTAGAGCCTTGAAGTGAACTTAATTCGGAGCCGTCTTTTCGGGGGGAAATTTACGAGTCGGATCGATCGTTCTTCTTGTTCGATCGAACTTTCAGCGTGCTTGGAATGGAATGGAATGGAATGGAATGGAATGGAATGGGAAAGCTGAAGGGGACGGTGATGGTTTCGATTTAATACTGGTGTGGCGGAGAGATTGATTGAGCGTGAGGATTTGTCTCCGAGTGACATTTCTTCAACGGTGGTCTTTTCGCGCAAGACTTCTTGGAGCAGTGTCGCAGTCGTTTTTGTACGTCGAGCGAAAGAACGAGTGATGAAAGAAAACCTTACCTACGCACGGACTCGCGCGTCACATGCCTGCCTCTAATCTTCTTTCTTTTTTTTCCCCCCCAAGGGGAGCGCTAACACTCAATAATTCACATTTTCTGGATTCTCATCGAGATGCGACTGACTTGTACATATCTTTTCGCCCGGAGGAGGTTCTCCTTGTCAGTCAGTTCGAGATAGACAATACGATATAATACGATATCATACAATATAATACCGCAGCCTGAGTTTCGAATGGAGCATTTGAGAATGAACGGACGGAGGAGGTAGGTAAACGGAACCGCTTTTTTTTTCGTGGCGATCGGGGTTGGATCCCCCCCTCGCCTCCGTTAGAGGAATTTAAAGGATGCGACAATTCCGTAAGTAGCGGCTTTGATGGGGCATGCGAGAGGTCTGTAGTACGGAAGAAGGTTGATCCGTGCCGTGTTTTTGTTGTGAATACGGCCTTATCCTGCTGGGCGAGAAGAAAGAGCGAGCACACGTGCTGCCAACAACGACGAAATTTACAGCGAGGCAGACGAAAGTAATGTGCAAGGGCGTAAACAAAATGAGAAGTATCAACGAAAGTCGATTGATTATCATAGCCGAAAGCCGAAGATAGGCCTGGGCTGCTGCATAAGGTACGGCGCGGCGGCCAACACTGGCCGAGACCTGTCGTTAGTCCTACAGACATTAATGCGGGGTGGAGCGAACAACACGACACGCCCTACGGATTCCTGCAGAAAGGAGTCAGATCTGTACTTTGGGCATTTGAAATAGGAAGAAAAAAAAAAGAAACGATAGAGACGACGGTACTACACCACCATCACCGACGGCAATCATAGTCCCAGGCATCATCCAAGAAAGGCATTCACGATGCGAGAAGAAATCATGACAGCAGCGATCGTGACACACACGGCGGCGGCGGCGGCGAACATCCAAAAGAAGCCCAAGAATAATGACCTTACCTCTTCTTCCATCCTCCACACCAGACTCCACAGCACGCCCCCCAAAATCATCTCCGCACGGGGAAACTACCTCACGACAGCCGAGGGCACGGAGGTTTTCGACGCCACGGGCGGCGCGGCCGTCGCGTGCATCGGGCACAACAACGCGCGCGTGAAGCGGGCGATAGCGGAGCAACTGGAAACGGTAGGATACTGCTATTCGCCCTTCTTCACGACCGACGCCTCCGAGCGACTGGCGAGGTACCTGACGAATTCCACGAACGGGGAGATGGCCCGGGTGTTCATCGTTTCCTCGGGAACGGAAGCGGTCGAGGCGGCGCTGAAATTGGCGCGGCAGTATTTTGTGGAAAGCGAAGGGGCCGGGACGGGGAGGTGTCATTTCATCGCGAGAGAGCAGAGTTATCATGGGAATACGCTGGGGAGTCTCGGGGTGGGGAGTCATAAGGGGCGGAAGGCGATTTATCTGCCCCTGCTGGCGGGGAATTTCAGTCATGTTAGTCCTTGCTATCCCTATCGGGGGATGCTGAAGGGGGAGAGCGAGGAGATGTATGTGGCCAAGTTGAAGGCGGAATTGGAAGCGGAGTTTGTGCGAGTGGGACCGGAGAAGGTGTGTGGGTTCGTGGCGGAGACGATGAGTGGAGTGGTGAGTGAAGGTGCTGATTTTCTACGATTTGGAGGTTGGGAGCTGATGTTGTCAACAGACTTTGGGCGCTGTTCCTCCTGTGACAGGATATTTGAAAGCCATGAAAGAGGTGTGCGATAAGTACGGTGCACTCTTCATCTTGGACGAGGTCATGTCGGGAATTGGCAGGACTGGGACGTTGCATGCGTGGGAGCAAGAGGATGTCGTGCCTCATCTCCAGACGGTAGCCAAGGGTCTCGGAGCGGGATATGAGCCTATAGGAGCGCTGCTGGTGCACAAGACTGTGGTGGATGCTCTGTCGAGGGGCAGTCAAGGCTTCATGCATAGCCAGACATATCAGGGCCATCCAGTGGCTTGCGCTGCGGCTTACGAAGTACAGCAGATTGTGAGAGAGGAGGATCTGCTTGCCAACGTGCAGGAGCTAGGCCCCTATCTAGGTGATTCGTTACGCAAGCGACTTGGCGAACACCAGCATGTGGGCGACATCCGGGGCAGAGGATTCATGTGGGGCGTACGTTGTATGTTCTGTCCCTGGGGGTACACATCTGCTGACGTCCGGTGTAGATTGAACTCGTGGAGGACAGAAGATGCAAGAAGCCGTTCCCGGTGGAGAGGAAGGTGGCGGGCACATTGCACGCGACTGGCCTGTCAGCTGAGTTTGGTATTTCTTTGTTGCCCGGTGGCGGGTTGGCTGATGGGACGAATGGTGACCTGATCATGTTGGCTCCGGCGTACAACATCACCAAGGCAGATGTCGACCTGATTGTAGAGAGGACTGCGAAGGTTGTCGAGCATGTATTGGGCCGAGAGTAATGAATGAAGCGAGCGGGCATTCATTCCACCGTGGTTTCCGATTTCGTCTCTGGGTAGCGCGTGACCGCACCATCAGCGGCGCTCCGGGAAGGCGTTATGTGAAGCTCATTCGGCGCACACGGCGTTCCGAGAGCTCTCGGCAGCGAAAGGCGTCTGGCATGTGCATGTGCATGTGAAAGAAGCAGCGAGAGCTGTGAGAGCATGTTCCGTCCCGCGGAAGCGGCACATGGCAAAGCTTGAATAGGCGCTCGATGGCAAAGGAGGGCGGCGAGGTTGCCGACGATTGGCTACATTCCGTGGTAGAAGAGTCTAAGACACGTGAGAACTGGTTGGCTCCATCACACATGACGAAGACCGAGATCGGCACCGCGCTTCCGAAGCGCCTCTTGGCGGTTGGAGTCCGCAAATTTTGCCCCACTTTTACTTCTTGTTTGGGTGTGGAGATGCCGCGTCCCGTCTGGAGAAGGGTCCACTCTCTCCAACCATAGTCCACTGCAATTGTGCATGGCCACCACGCGCACAGCAGCCGGGCGGATACGCCATACTCGAACGCCAACGTCCCTCGACTCGCTTGATGTGATGTGATGCGCGGATGAATTGCTCCGAAGACTCTGCGTGATGTGGGGGACGTGGTCGCAGAAGCGACGTGTAGCCTGACGACCCCGCGCAAAGGATCTTGTGTTGTGTTGCAGCTCTGCCAAATGGAAGGCGGCGCAGGTGGTTGGCACTCGATGTGGTCAGCGACAGACAGCATGTGCGTGGCGAGATGTACGGCATCCTTCCGTTCGCTCCTTCCCCGAGCAGTTTAACTGCGCTGCTTCCTCCCGGTGTGGAGGACCGGTGAAGCGAAGAAGCAGTCGCAACCCTCCATATATAGTGCAGAATGGTGCGTGCATATACCAGGGAATACCCTCCATCCTTTCAGCTGCTTTGTTCTCCAAGGGCTTCATAAAACAAGGGACACATTCCAATCCCCCTTTCCCTTTCCTAACCCCTTCCCCTTCTCTCGGGTCGTCTACAACGCCAAGATGTTCCGAATCGGCAACATCTACGTGATCGCCGCCGTCGCCGTCGTCGGTGGCGGCCTGTTCGGCTTCGACATCTCCTCCATGAGCGCCATCATCGGCACCCAGGCCTACCTCTGCTACTTCAACCAGGGCCCCGACGGTCCCCCCTTCAACCATGCCGCCCAATGCTCCGGTCCCCGCGCCTCCGTCCAGGGCGGCATCACCGCCGCCATGCCCGCCGGCTCCTGGCTCGGCGCCCTGATCTCCGGCTACCTCTCGGATATCTTTGGCCGCAAGAAGTCCATCATGATCGGATGCATCATCTGGGTCATCGGGAGCACCATCATCTGCGCCTCGCAGAATATCGGCATGCTCGTCGCCGGGCGTGTCATCAACGGCCTCTGCGTCGGCATCGAGTCGGCTCAGGTCCCCGTCTACGTCTCCGAGATCGCCCCTCCCTCCAAGCGTGGACGACTCGTCGCCTTCCAGCAGTGGGCCATCACGTGGGGCATCCTCATCCTCTACTACATCTCATACGGCGCCTCCTTCATCGGTGGTCAGTCCGCCTCCACCTACACCACCGCACAGTTCCGTCTGCCGTGGGGTCTCCAGATGCTCCCGGCGGTCCTGCTCTTCGTCGCCATGATCTTCCTGCCAGAATCCCCCAGATGGCTCGCACGCAAGGACCGCTGGGAGGAATGCCACGACGTCCTCTCTCTGGTCCACGGAAAGGGCAACCCCAACAGCCCACTCGTCACCCAGGAACTCGCCGACATCCGCGACATGTGCGAGTTCGAAGCCCGCCACTCGGATGTTACATACTGGGAGCTGCTCACGCCCAAGTACCTCAATCGCACTCACGTCGGTATCTTCACCCAGGTCTGGTCTCAGCTTACCGGCATGAACGTCATGATGTACTACGTAAGACAATCCCCTCATCATCATCCTCATGACTTGATCTTGTTCCTCGCTGACTTGACAAAAGATCACCTACGTCTTCGCCATGACTGGCTACACCGGAAACGCCAACCTGCTTGCGTCTTCGATTCAGTACATCATCAACGTCCTCATGACTGTTCCAGCTCGTAAGTTCGCGGAAGAAGTCTCCCTCTTCGTGTCACATCTGCTGACCTCTCCCAGTAATCTGGCTTGATCGTTGGGGACGTCGACCGACACTCATTGTCGGCGCCACTCTCATGATGATCTGGATGTACGGCAATGCAGGCCTCTTTGCCACCTATGGCGTCCCTCAACCGGGCGGTCTCAACAACGTCGCGGCCGAATCGATGCTCATCAAGGGCGCACCGGGCAAGGCCGTCATTGCCTTCACCTACCTCTTTGTCGCCTCCTACGCGCCCACCTGGGGCCCTGTCAGTTGGGTGTATCCCCCCGAGCTTTACCCTCTCCGTGTGAGGGGCAAGGCGGTTGCGCTCGCAACCTCGGCCAACTGGGCGTTCAACACTGCATTGGGTGCGTTTGTCCCGCCGGCCTTTGCAAACATCTCGTGGAAAGTGTACATCATCTTCGGCACCTTCTGTGCGGCCATGTTGATTCACGTCATCTTCCTCTTCCCGGAGACTGCCGGCAAGACGTTGGAAGAAGTCGAGCTCATGTTCGAGGATCCAAACGGTATTCCACACATCGGCACTCCTGCTTGGAAGACCAAGGTCGAGTATGGACATGCCCTGGCGTTTGAGAAGGGGGATGTCGCAGCGCACAAGAAGCTGCAAGGAGACGAGAGTGATGAAATCGAGAGGAAAGAGAGTATTGAGCCCAAGGCGCACCCAGACGTTTGAAGAGATGATTATTTAAGGCCAGCATTGGACCTGTCATATGCATCAGACGGGAAAAGACATTACGAATGCATGAGCGATTCCCCTTAGCTTGCATCTGCTGCATGTTTCAATCCACGTCTCGTCATGATGACTTGCGAATGTCTCAGATACACCATTTCCCCACGCCTCACGCCTCCAAATCTTCTACCTGGACCGGAGTTGTACGGAGCCGAAACGTAGTGGAACGTATGGTGGGATTAACGGTCCAGACCTGACTCCAGCCGCATGGCTCGCCATGTTTTGTGAAGGCCATACATTCTTCGTTTGTGGACGTCCTGTCTGTAGCACGAAGATTCGGAAACGCCGTCATGGGGCTGTGATCTCTCTCTTTCGTAGACGACGACGACGACGACGACGACGACGACGATTCTCTCCGTGCAGTCGAGAACGTCTGATGACGACGGAGGAGGGGATTTCGGAGATCGGGAAGATTCGAGAAAGATTTGTGTTTTCCCCCGGAGGAGCTTCTGAGATGACGATGACGATGATGATAAGACAGGTAGGTGGGTGAAGTTGGTTGTTGGGTTGGGATGGAGATATATTTGATACGAAAGAACGGCGATGGTGGTTGGGATTCCCGATGGGGAGCACATGCACATGCACGTGAGCACGACGGCGAAAGAATGGAGCATCGTCATCGTCATCACCACCATCTCTACGACCCTCTCTCCAGTAATACCATCCGACTCCTATATATCCGCCCCAGCGAAGGAACCCCCGGAACAGCATGGACGGGAGACCTCCGAGCGTTTCGATGCAAAGCCGCCACTACGCCGGAATACACCGCCATCTCGTATGTCTGGGGCGATGAGAGTGCAGGGGAGGAAGAAGAAGCAGAAGGGAGGAAGAAGAAGAAGAAGGTCGAAATCAACGGACGACAAGTCCCCGTTCTGAAGAGTGTGCTTCCGATTCTGGAAAGGCTCGTGAGCGAGGATCAACAGCAGCAGCAGGAAGGGCGATGGATCTGGATCGATTCGATCTGTATCAACCAGAGCGACCTTCGCGAGAAGGCGAAACAGGTAGGCATGATGGGGCGGATCTTCCGAGGCGCGAGGTGGGTTGTCGTTTGGCTTGGGAAAGGCGGGGAGAGGTCGAGGGGCGGGATGGAGATGATTCGACGCATTGCCGGGAGTGATGGTGGGAGGATGGAAGAGCCGCCGGGACCTGGTGCATGTCCGGGTAGGAAGTTTGAGGATGTGGAAGCTTGGAGGGACCTGGAAGAGATTGCCCGGAGGCCTTGGTTCCGACGGGCGTGGACTTTGCAGGAGAGTCTGGTGGCGCAGGGGGAGGTCTGGTACTATTGTGGGCGGGAACGGGTCAGTGGGAGGGAGATGAGGGATGCGATTGAGAAGGGGGAGGAGCTGAGGAAGAAGTATTTGTTGGAGGGGGAGATCGATGAGGCGTCTTGGACACCGATGGAGATCCGGAGGAGGATCATGCAGTGGTATATCACCGAGGAACAGGGGGAAGAAATCTCCCTCCTGGCACTGCTGGCGTATGACTCCCAGGCGGAAGCCAGTGACCCGAGGGATAGGATCTACTCGCTGCTCGGCTGCGTTAACACGACGGACAGAGCCCTCGTCGGACTCCCCGACTACGCCTCGCCCGTGGAAACCGTCTACGTCAACTTGGTCAAGGACTGGATCGAAGAACATCAGAGTCTGGACATCCTCTGCTTCGCCCAACTCTTCCCTCCCCGAGACCATTCCTTACCTTCCTGGACTCCCGACTGGCGCAACCGGCTTCCCCTCGACACCAACCCGCTCCCTCTCCTCGTCAGCCAGTCCTCCAATAGCCACATTGGCAACCTCCGCCCCCGACGTTTCACCTCTCCAGCTCCCTCGGACCACTTCTCCCCCAACTACGCCGCCTCGGCCGCCTCCGTCCCCCTCTACGGCTTCGACGCCGACGACCGCATCCTCTTCTGCACGGGCGTCTTCGTGGACACGATCGACGGCATCGCCGCCCTCGTCGACGCTGCCGGGGAGGCCATCGAGCCCGCCATCCAGAGCACCTCGCCCACCAACTCGGGCGCCTTCGCCGAGTCGGAAATCATGCTGCATACCCTCGCCTCCCAGCTCGCCATCCCGGGGGATCTCTCCGCCATGGCGGAGATCCTCCGCCGCGAAGTCGCCCTGTCGCTCGTCCTCGGCAGGGGCGATATCTACCTCCACCACCCCGTCGACGCCCAGCGCGTCCTCGCGCATATCTCCGCCCTCCTCTCCCCACACACCCCACAGGACTCCCCTCCCCTCGCCACGCGCGAAGCCCTCGCCTGGTTCAAAGCCAACGCCACCTTCCTCATCCGCGGCCTGACCCTCTCGCACGCCTTCCGCGCCATCCCCCTCTCCCCCAGCTACATCACCCGCATCCTCTCCGAAGCGGCCGCCTCCTGCCCCGACGACGAGGGCGGCTACTCCGAATCCCCCTTTGCCGCGAAATTCCAGCTCGCCGCCAGCCCGCGCTACATGGGCATGCGCCTCGGCGTCACGGAGCAGGGCACCGTCGGAATGCTCCCCACGCGCGCGAGGAAGGGGGATGCGCTGTGTGTTTTGTTTGGCTGTGGGGTTCCCGTTGTTTTGAGGCGGACGGCCGAGGGCGGGTTGTTTGAGTTGATCGGCGAGGCGTATGTGAGTGGTTTGATGGAGGGGGAGGCTGTGCGGAATGGGAATCAGGTGTTGACGTTTGGGTTGGTGTAGGCTGTAGCGTTTTTACACGATGGAGCAGAGCAGAGCGGAGCAGACTCTGGCACGGCCTGTTTTTTTTTTTTTTTTTTTTTGGAGGGGGCAATGTTGAGTTTTGAATACGATCTTGTTGGTTTCCTTACGACTTGACTGCGGACGCTCCTTTTAGTCTTTTGGTCTTTTGTGGATCAGTCCGATCATTTTTCAGGGGAAGTTCATACATGGGTGGCGTTTTCGATTTTTACTTGAAATGAAGCAGCGGCGGTGGCGTTTTGATGTCTCGATAGCGGGAACCCCATCAACATTCTTTTGGTTCAGAAAATTTGACCTTGGGGAAGGTACAGGTCTTAACGCGTCAAAGAATTTTTTTGATTGAATCAAAGGTATCTTACAAGACAAATCATTACCATGTCCTTTTCATGCCATGCCATGCTATGCTATGCAAACTCCGTCCAATGCAGTACGTACGGCCACCCACAGCCCATTGAAACCATCGCCTATGAGGCCTCGGTGTAGTGGCAGCCAACGGGCTTGTCGACCTTGACGGCCTTGAGCGTAATGTCGATGCAGTCGCCGTAGTTGTTGCCCGGGTTGTCGCTGGCCTTGTCCCACCAGACGGACCACTCGCCGGGCAGGACCACGCCGGCTGGGGTCTTCTGCGGGCAGGCGGCCGGGCTGGCGCCGTCGAAGAGCAGTTGGCTCTGCGCGTTGATGGTCCAGGGGGTGCGCTCGCTGTTGCGGCCCGCGGCTTGCGCGCCTGTCGTGTAGCCCCAGATTCCTTTGCCTGTGTGAAGAAGACAGTAGTCAGTACATGTGGAGAGGAAGCTTTGAAAAAAAAAAAAAACCGGGGTTCCGAGAGGACTCTGCTTGGCTAAGGTAAGACTTACCCATTCCACTCCTGTCAACCCACAATTGCTGCGGGGCGCGAGCGGACGCGGTGTACAGGTATGCATTGTCGTTGGACAGGTAGAAGGTCGCCGTGTTCGATGCGTCGGTGCTGTCGCAGGAGGCATTCTGAGATGCGGCGCCAATGTAGAAGTAGCCGCCGGAGGCCTTGATGCCCGAGTTCTGCACGCCGCTGCCAGACTTGATGGCGATCAGGTTGAACGCATCGTTGTTGTGGATCAACTCGTCCGTGGAAGCGGCGGGGAGAGCAGCGGCCGTGGCGGCGAAGAGGGCGAGGTTCTTGATCTGCATCTTGATGATTTGGGTGTCTGTCGTAGGTGTCGAAGATGGGATTTGGTCTTTGGTGGGTCTGTTTGTCTGGTCGAGTGTTGTTCTGTCGTGGATGATGAGGTGAAGTAGGTGGTGAAGTCCAAAGCCTTTATATACCCCTTTACCTACACCTCTTCTTAGCTAAGCTGTCCTAAACTATTCCTCGTGTTAGACCTTGTACATTACTAGGTTCTTCCTAGGCCCGAGAGCCGCCAAGTCGCCACTCTACGTCCCTTTTAGCCAACACGAGACGGAGTTTCACGACGTGACATTGTAGCAAGACGTCCCCACTGGATCGCCTCGTATCGGTCGTCACTCGTTTACAGCGACTCTACTGTTGCCATCGGTACGTAGGAATTCCCACAATCGACGTTCTACACGAAGTTCCAAGATCGGAAGCACTCCGGGTCTGATGAGTGCCAAGACGCAAAGTGCCCGCGTTACTAATAAAACATTCTTGGACAGAGCGAGCGGAGCGGGCGCGGGCGCGTGCTGCTCTGAGGTTATTGTGTGGACTCTCGCGCGCTATGGCGAAAGTTCGGAGCATCATTAGGGTTGTTCTAGTGGTCGAAAGATATAGCTTGTGCCAGATGTGGTAATGTGGATGAGGCCATCTTGGGAGGGAATTCAGTCCGGCCTGACGTCCAGACGTCCAGACCGAGCCTCATCGTATTCTCAAAATAGTTGGCCACGTTGAATCTTCCGATTTGACTTCACAGCCACAACCACAAAGCGAACAATCAAGCCTTTGCGAGTCAGGATCAAGGAGCGACAGAGTTGTTGATCCTGTTGCACGAGCTTAATCGGACGACATTGCGGAGACCTTCCCTGTTCGCTTCGCGAAAAGTTGGAAGAGAACATACCTCATCGACGACGTTTCGATCACTCATCGAGAAGTTCGAAAACAGTTAGCTTTCCGAAGAGAACATGTTTGACATGTAGCTTCTCCCAAACTTCCTGTTTCGAGGACAAAAGGTTATCGAGAAATTCGCCGGCTTCTCGCGGAGAGAATAGGGCCGTATTGACTGAGTCAGTGACGGTGCATTGCACAACGAAGAGCTGCAAACGACAGCCTCTTCGGCGCAGTGCCTTCAACCGTAAGAGTCATATCCTTGTCGCCTGACCCAATACTCGTTATACGTCGAATGATCTCGCTGTCCACTCAGGCCTAGCTGGCCGGCTACGTTGACGTAGCCCTCAGCATTTACGGCGCCAGATTTGGCAACATTCTTGACATCACTACCGTCGGCATCCCACGGAGTTCGACAAAAGGGGCAGGTGACCTTTCCTGGCTTGGTCCTCGCCCATTGGTCGAAGCACTCTTTGTGGATGTTGTTCCCGCAAGCAGCTTTGCAGTATACGACTTGCTCTTTCGCATTCTCGGGTTCGAAATCGACGCAGCAGATGGGGCATTCGCCTGCACCAACGTGTTAGCCCAGAATCACGAGACGTTACATCACTGTCTGGTACGCATACCTTCCAGCTTCTTCCGATTCCCATCCTTCTCACTCTCAACCACTGTCTCGCTCGGCAGAGGAGGGGCCTTCTCAAAGATTTGCTTCAATTCCGAGCTCAAGTACGCCAGTTGGTATTCCAGATTCTCGGGCACTCTTAGTACCCTCGCCATGACGTATACAAGATGCTTGCACTGATTGCCCTTCCTCGCATGCGGACAATCGCACGTGGGAACCCTATCAATGTCGATCGTGTAGATGTTTCCCGTTGTTCCAGCCAAGCTGATAGTCTCCGTCGCATGTTCTACGAGACTCCCTTCCTCTTGCTTCGGAGCATGGCGCTGCCGGTCAATGACAAACATGCGTTGCGTGAGTGCGCGGTGTCGAATGTCATGATATGCGCCCGGCAACTTCGCGCGGAAGCGTTTCAGGCGTCTCTCTTCGTCTTTGGGCTTCGTCTTCTTTTTCGCCGGCTTGCCGTCTGCGTCGTCCCCATCTGCAGATTCGTTCTTCCGCTTGCGACTGCATTTCTTAGGCGAATTGGATGCGGTCAGATCGATGGGTGTCGCGTAAGAGGAGCCTGACGCGCCGTTGGAGGCGGAAGGATAAGTCGAATAGGGCGCGTACGAGACGTGATCCAGTCCCATATTGCGCGTTGCTAGCGAGTGAAAGATGACCACGAACACGACAAGAAAGAGATAGATTGTTGTTAAGAGGTCGATGAGAGAGCGATTGTGACGTATCGATAGGAAGACTTTCACGCTAGAGCACCTGATCACGTGACCTGCTCAATCCGGGCTGCAAATTGAAGTCTCCCAAGTCTCCCCTCCAGCATAACAACATCGTCAGCGCGTCCCAAGCCATCTTTTTCTCCCTGCCCGATCATCACCGGAGCTGTCAAAGGTCTCGAGCTGCCTCATGCTTACTGTAGCGCTCAGCTCATGTGACTCGAATGATCGAGCACTCAATGCCACGTGTGAAACTCATTGGCGGATTATCAAACATACCAATCCTGCGAAAAGTTCTCCCATCTTGACGAGTGGGCGTTACCAGAATTGCATAACTTAACTCTTCATCATGCTCATTGCTTCCAAGATACTTATGTGCAAGAACCACAAAGGACACAAATGTCTCCGGATCGTCTTCAAATGGGTCGAAAGCGAAGGATACAGGCACTGGACTGGACTACCGGATCTAGCCTTGACAATATCCGGCTGCGGAGGCAGATCGTGGAAACTTCCGAGAGTGAGGTTATGTCGAAAGTGTAACTTCCCTCTCGTGACGATTTTGCTCAAGCGAGTGTCCAGTAGCTTGGTCGAACCTTTTAAGTATGCCTCTGTTGCCTCACCAAAAGGTCGCGCCTTTTAATTGGACGTGAGGAGCCTTCAGCAATGCCATGCCGCTTCGACTCCAATTTGGTCCTCGACAGCGGACGTCGAATTGTACTGGTCCTTCAAAAGTAGCCCAAGGCCACGACGGAGCTCGATACTCGATCCCAGACGGCGTTCGCGACTCGACCGAGTTATAACACCATGAAAGCCAGGAAGTGAACAAGTGAACAAGTCCGATACCCACAGCCCCGCGAGGTACGACTTTGTACTCTCCATCAGTATATACTTTCGTCATTATACTCGCCAGTCCAGATATCGCAGTCAGCCGATCTGAAAGCCGCGTCAGTTCGCATTTCGAAACTGTTCTACTGCCTTTGACCACAATGTCACTGGAGGTCCACAGGGGTAATTGACGTTGTCACTGACTCTTTTCCACGTCGAGATACCGTTCTCCGCTGCGATTAAGGAGGGGCAATGCCAAAAAATTCCACTTAGTTTCAGAACACCCCATTCTCGAAGATATTTCGGGTTCCAGGACAGCCCAGCCTCGAGGAAACCGAATTCTTCTGAATATTGGCCTGGGTCATAATCCCTTTTGTGATGGTCAGGAAAGGGATGCGCGAGGAGGCCGCAATACGCCTCGTTGCGAGGCCGGCTGTGAAGAAGCCCTTGCGAAACACTGGAAGCATTAGCGGCGACTAGAGTGAGAGCTGGTTCTTCCCGGTCCTGGAAGTTGTCCTTCAAGATGCAAACGCATCGAGCCAGATATATTTGCGGCGAGTCCGAGCAAGTGCATAGGATAAGTCAAGATTCTCGGGCATCAATTTGCAACACCAGCATGGTTCTGCACTTTGCTTGAGCTTCCGGACGTTATGCGCAGCTGGATGCTGCGACCAACCCAGACATACATTCTCAGCAGAGCTTCGAAGATACGCCCGGCCAAGCTCGAGAGTTTTGTGCAGCCCTCACAGAGTCCGGCATGCTGCTCATCAACCCAAAGATCCACTTGTTCCTGCGACTTCTTCACCTCTCGCCTCCTCTGAAAGGGATCTTGACTGTTCTTCGATACATGGAATCTCCGCTTCTCGAACACAGGAGGCAATGCTGGCTTCCATGAAGGCATCCGCGTGAGTTTCTCGAGGTACCCAGCTTCGCACATCTTCTTGAACTGCTCCGAGTAAGACTTCCCTGATCTGGCATCGAAATGTTAAGATTCATGCACTCCGATCTCGTAGCAGTCCTTGGCAAGCTGTGAGGCCACATCGTCGTCCGATCACAGTGGAAACCGATGGTAAAGCGCGAATAATTTGGAAGTCTCCGGGTCCATCCAAGGAACCATTGTCATGGTGATATGTTGTTCGAGATCCACTTGGAAGCCCTGACAGTATCAATCTCATGGGTCTCTTGTTGCACGGGCTGAGGCTGGGCGATGCTGCGCCTCCACAGCGGAGAACCCGCCACAGCTGCGGGTGTATGCGACAATAATCGCAACGAGAGCGATGCACTGCTGCAATCGGTTCGCTGGCAGATGGGAGCTTGAAAACCGCGCAAAGCGGGCCAGGAGAGACAAAGTTTCTATACACTTCCAACAATACACGATATATACACAAAGCATAACATCTCACAGCTACTCCCTATTCAGTCCCTCACCCGCGCCTTCAACAGGAACTTCATCCGCGTATTCCCTTTCAATCATCAATGACTTCGCCAGCACTGCCTGCATCATAGCATAATTGACAACGCACTTCACCCCTAATTCCTCACCCCTCCGTATGATATATCCATTGATGTACTGGATCTCCGTCTGCCGACCCGCTCTCATATCCGCGAGCATACTGCTGATATTGTCCTTTGTTCTTCCCGCAACACTGGTAGTCATGTTTTCGAGGCGCTTGGAGCTGAACCGGGTGGGCACATTGGGCAGACCGCGGAGTTCCGGAAGCGAGCGGATCACGAGACAAGTCTCGGCGAGCATGAGCCGTTTGAGACGCGTAACAGGGAAGTTATAATTGAGAGTTCCGTTGCGATTGTCGAAGAGGGAGGTTAGAGGATTGAGGATGGAGTTGACGGCTAGCTTTTCCAGTTGCAGTTGAAGCAGCTCAATGGGAGTGACGGCGACAGCGGCTAGGACTGGTGTGCGAGTCAGGGTTCGGATGAGATAGCGCGCGCTCTCTGGCAGTTTTTCAACTTGCGTTTCATCAAGTTCGCCGTCATCTGCTTCACCGGCACCATCTGTGGCGGAAGAATGTCCAGCTTCTTCGACCTGCTGTGCCAGGGACTTTCGAGGAACTACGCCTAGAAATATGGTTCCATGACCCGCGTGCACAACGAAGAAGGGATCTTGGGCTGCCATTTGCGGTGGGACATTGGCGCCGTGCGAGATGATGCCCTGCACATAGTTCGGTCGGGTGGCCTCGTCGGGAAAAACCTGCTCGTTGACAGCATCGATCACTCCCATCCCATTTTGTAGGAAGCAGATGGTACTATCCCGAGTGAGACGGTGCTTCAGAGCAGCGACAGCTGTAACGGTGCGTACGGTCTTGGTGGTGACAATCAGGTTGTGAATGGGCTCAAACGAGACAAAATCATCCAATTCTCTCGGCTCGTCTTCGAGAGGTTGGTAGTCCGCATCAGTTGCCGCCTTTGCTGTGTTCACCGAACCCTTCTCGTCTTCCGGAATTGCTGCCTCGTTCATTCTTTGTGCATTTTCTCGACCCCCAACCGTTGCTCCGCCCACAGTTTTGTCATCATCCTGGGAGCCCGTTTCCCCCCTCTCTCCTGCATCATCTTTCGTTTTCTGTTCTGCAACGATCTCGGCGACTTCATGTGGCTTCAATCCTGTATCATCGCTCATGCCGTATATGTCGACTTGCCCTTTGTCCCTAACTTCCTGCAACATCACGCCGTGTTGCTTCAAATAGGGTCTATACAGTTCAAAATCAAATCCACCTCTTGGAACGGTATATTCTCCGTCCTGCACGGTAATCCGTCTTTCGCTTTTGTCCCACGCCAATGCCAATCGACCACGATGGAAAATGAGTGTCACAGGCGGGGGGTCTGGGATTCCACGCAGAGAATGCGCCACCAGCTTTCCGATGCTGCCTGTTCCTACGATATGGATATTCCGAGGGACATCGGGTGATATTTTGGCATATTGTCTGTCGATTGGTCCCCACGGTTTGACGGGTTCCTGCGTGTAGGTATGCCCGGGCTGGGGGTTCTCTCCAGACTCGTGATTATTCTCCATATCCTCCTCTTCTGCCGGTTGTTGCTTGTCGCGGGAGTGTGAGGATGACGCCGGAGCTTGCAGGGTTCTGTTGGGATCCCACCGAGATCGCAATGGTTGTGTTGTCGTGCTGAAAGAGAAGGCCACCCGGCCCGCATAGATGCTACCGCTGAAGCATCTTCCTTTCGTCCGCGGAATCCGGCGCGGGAGATGGTAGAGCGCTGAGAAAGGCAGATTTACTGAAGTTTGCTATGATGAGGAGATCATAGCATTTGTTTCAGAGCGTTGATTGGGGCGAAGTGGTCAGAGAAAGGCGTGTGGGAATGTTATGAAGGTGCCAAAGTCTTTGGCGTCACGACGCAGAACGAAACGGGAAGCTACGGGCTCCCCCGAGCCGAACCCGAACCTGAAAGCTTTCCGGCGATCGATCGACCGACCTTTCCACATTGGAAACATTCATTGACACCCTACACCTTCACATGCCCACTTCAATTTAGTCTCGTAACGCGACAATGTCATCGAAACCTCTCACAAGTCGCCTGCTGTCCTTGCCGGCAATCATCCGAGCTCGCTCTTTCTCGGTCCTCAATCGTCCACCTCCGAATTACCCAGGCCACGTACCATTGACATGGCTCGAACGCGGCGCTTTGGCAATTGGATCAGCATTCGGCTCTCTCAAGAACCCATACCGCCACGATCTCATTGCCTCTCTGGGTGAAGCAACCGCGAAGCCGTACTTCGTCTCCCGCCTACGTCAGGCAATGCTTGCAAATCCAACCGGAAGGAGGATCTTAAAAGACAGACCAAGGATCACAAGTCAAACATTGAAGCTTGAAGAGCTCCGAAAACTACCCGAAAATACTGTCGGAAAAGCATACGCTGCCTGGCTAGATCGGGAGGGAGTGACGCCGGATACGCGAGATCAGGTGCGCTACATTGACGATCCGGAAGAGGCGTATGTCATGCAAAGATATCGCGAGACGCATGACTTCACGCATGCGATTACTGGACTGCCAGTGATCATCGAGGGTGAGTTGGCTGTGAAGGCGTTCGAGTTCGCAAACACGCTCTTGCCAATGACCGCGCTGAGTCTCGTGGCCATCGTTCGATTGAAGCCGGTGGAGCGAAAACGGTTCTTCGAGATCTACCTGCCGTGGGCACTGAGGAATGGTCTGAAAGCAGAAGAGGTTGTGAACGTCTACTGGGAGGAAGAGCTCGAGACAGATGTGGACGTGCTGAGGGCGAGATTGGGTATTGAGACGCCGCCGGACCTGAGGGAAATTCGCAAAGCTCTTCGTGATCAGAAGCGAGCAGACAAGGCCGCGAGGGAGGCAAAGGAAGCTATGGGAGCTGCACGAGATGTGTGAGGTTTCGGACAACCTATGGAGCTTCACTCATACGGAGCTCGCAAAAGTGGATGCGGCAGCGAGAATACTCCTAGCTGAAGCGCAGAACGGCGGCGCCTTGCTCAGAGATTCTCATACCTAGGATCAGCCACTCTCTGCAGGTCAAGACCTGATTCTCGTGTCCGCTAACATTAATTCTATGCTCAAAAATGCATACCGATCCTTTGGACGCGCCGGGACAACCGTTGCCTCGCTAGGAGCTTGGTACAGGCCATGCCATCGAAAGGAGGGCCTCGTACAAGCAACTTTCCAATCTCACTGCTCACGATGTATTCCGTGCATTTGTGCGGATGCTTGGCGTGTGAAGAAGACTGCCCACGACTTATCCCGATTACGGCCCATGCAGAGAAGATGAGATGGCAAGGGCAACAGCTGGTCTTTTCAGATTGCTTCCTATGCGAACAGCTTGTCGTAACAGTACGGATGGAAACGGCGTGAAGAGCACACGAGTGCACGTCTGAGCCGAATCAAATTGGGACTTCGAAAGGAACTACCAAGCTCACAAGACATTTTTCTGCTTGGTTACATCGCCATTGCCATCATACCTTCCACATCTGTGTCAGTGGCGCCACGGCCGTCTGAGACGAATAGGGCAGGACGACATCAAACAGACAAGTTTTCTCACCTACGATACTTTGCTCTCACTGGATTTACAATCTTGCCATGGCTCCCCTACATCCTTGCCGCCGATAGCTCTCGACCACAGCCGTAGCAAAGGCTCAATACGAAGAAACCGGCAACCCAAGATAAAATATACCTCGGACATCGCAAGTGGTAGCGGCGAAATGCTCTCAAGAGAATATCAATTGTACAACTCCTGTAGGTCGGATTTGTGCTGCTTCTTCACTCTCCGGCACGTCTTGTTCGGTACGTCTTGTTAACTTGCGCAACGTTGCCATTCCAACACTTTTGGCTCTCGTAGCTACGACATGGGCCCAGCCATTCCCTTCCGCTCAAATTCGGCAGGCTGCCCATCCTTACCAGGGTCGACAGCTCAGCAACACACTCGGTTCTTGCCAACGACGGCAGCGGTCTTCATATACCAACGAAGCTAGACTGGTCTCTGCTGCCAGGACTGGTGCTGCCTCCAGCAATGACCGCGTGGGAGCTGCCACAAATTACTACCGTAGCGTTCATCTTGACGCAGAGTTCTGACCGGTAAACGACCACTACACTCCTAATAGTGGCATTGCACATGTCTACTTCAAGTAGAACTGTGCTCGGCCTAGACAGCGACAATGCCGACTTCAATGTCAGTTTACGCCATGACACTCACTACACGAGTGTACAACTTAAGCTGACCGCGTCTCCAGATCCGCGAAGACGGGAGCATCTTCTCTTACGGTGAATCTTTCTACACAGCACCTCTTCCCGAGCAGGGACCGCGATTGCCTCAGCTTCCCAGCATTGGAGTCCATTGCCAGCGTCTTGACTTTGCCGATTCAGCCTGCACTTGTGGTGATTGGTCCGAAAGCGAAACGGGCTTTACAGTGCAGGGCCTGACCAACGTAGAGTCACCTCCCAAAGGGCAACTAGTCTAATAGGCTCTGGTGACGAGCTTGTACCTGCGTAGAGATTCAAAACTGATACCGGGTACAATTGGCTATTAATCTACAACGAAGCCGAAGGCTCTGACCAGATCCCGGTCGTCAATGATTACGTCGCCGATGCTGAGAGCTATGAAGCGTTCTAAGTCGGTCTTGTCTCCGCACGCTTGGCATCACCAAATATGGCGACACCTATCGCAAATGGCCTCTGAACGATCCTCGAAGCAACGTTCGCACCGACGGGTCCGACCCTTTTGACGAACGCAGCACTCCGTTAGGTTGGCATCGTGATCAGGACTCCAATGCTTTGAAATCCGCGGGAAAAGACCACCGCACAGTCTGATACTAATAGAGGCGCTCGCTACCTTGACGAACCATCTCCACAAAGTGCAGATCTCAGTTTTCGCGCTCCTTTTGGTGGGCGGAGCATGAGAATCGGCTCAGTATGGCGGAGCCTTCACCATGCAGCTCTTCTACACTTCCAACTATTACCGGGATATCTTCTTCGTACTGAGCTTCACCGAAGATACTGGCAATTTTGCAAACTTCCTTTCGCGGTCGTGGTGGCCGTGGGGATGATGACGTTCAGCTCAATACACAAGACGGCTCGGGTCTTGACAATGCTAATCTAGCCACTCCGCCAAATGGTCAGATGCCACGTATCAGGATGTGTATGTCTCTCAATTAGAGCGTTCCTGACCGTGCCAGCTCTCTCGAAGTAGGCATCGTCCTCCACCAATACACCCCTGACCTCACGAACCGTCTCTCGGGTGGTCTGCAGCCAACAGCCGCTGCGTCGAATCCGGCGGTACGGGAGAAGGCTGGTCTGATTTCTACGCCACTAACCTTAGAGTTCAAGTGTTCCAATTCAGGAACCACGAAATCTTCCATTGCTGATTATGCTTTTCAACCAATGTAATCAAATCCGTGCTTTTGTCTCTTGCACCAATCCGCGAACCCACCCGTACACTTCTTGTTCTGCTCTTCATACGCTGAAAGAGAAATATATCAGTATAGGACGGGTCTGGTGTACGATTCCTCTATCAGATGTAATGGAATTCGATTGATTAGCCGTGGAATCCGTCGAGTTGAGATCTGTTCTTAATACGATAATAGAGTCGAAGGGGAGTCCTACGGATATGAATTCTTCTTCTGGCTTTGTAGGGATTGTTCTGCATAGTGCTGTGGCTTTGTAGCGTTGTACTCCGACTCTTCCCTTAAGCTAGGATTGCCTCGGGCTAGGAATGCTCTCTTAGATGCGGATCAAGCGCGGACGGGTAGAAGTTCTCCCGTAGGACTCGGAGAGCTTTTGCGAAATCTCTTATAGGCGTGTAAACTTGTAAGATCTTAAGCTGTAGTATTATAAGAGGTACGTCCACTTCGTAGGTATATATAGTAGAATCTAAGGTATCTAATAGATAATTACTACTCTTGTAGAACTACGGGTTTTAATTAGAATTTTATCTAGACTAACTTTTCGGTTAATAGTACTCTTATCTTTATAAGCTTACTAGGGGTAGGAGGTGTCTCTTGTAGATAGGGTAGTCGTCTAGTAAGCGAGCGTCTAGAGCTATTATAAGTAATTCTATAAGATCTCGAAGAGGGGGGAGAAGGAACGTTATCTATAGTGTATACGTCGTTCTCTAGACGGTCTCTCTATACACATTGCAGCCGGATATAATGTACAGGCATAAATATACAAGATTATTTCCCCCCGGCTCGTGCAACCCACCCACCCTCCCTCCTGTACCTTACACACAGCAAGGGTCGCGCACTCGGGGAGGCAGCTGGTCTAAGGCGTCCCCCAGCTCGTGCATTTCTCCCCGCCTCTGATTGACGGGGTTAGTCCAGCGCTAGAATAATATCCAAGGGGCCCGGAGTTATCTCCGTTCCTTGCAAAATTCATGCCTTGTCGCGTATTGTTCTTTTCTGTCGGTCAGTCAGTCAGTCAGTCTCCTGACCGGATTTAAAGCAGACGAAATTCTCAAGACAATATCTTTTAGAGCACAGTCTTGTCACGACTGGATCTATTCCCTAGTCATGATGGGTGGTCTCGCGTGTTGCCGTCGTCGTGCAGGATCGAGTGCATTCGATATTTGCCGCAATCACGGAGCCAACTCTCAGAAAGGTAAAGTAAATCTGGGGGTTGCTCTTCGGAAACCAAGAGCCGTGGACTTTTCCAAGGCGGCGGATCGGATACCCCCTCCTCCGCTGTGGGCGAATCTCGGTCGTTGTCGAGGCGGACGGCACGGATCCCGGGTGTTGGTAAGATGGGCAAAGTCATGATGTCTTTGATGCTTCGTCATGAGATGCTGATGAGATGCTTCGTCAGAAAGTGGGCCACTGTGCGAGGCCAGCAACATCGGCTCTGGGGAACGGATCGTATGCGTAATTCCCGGCGAGTTCAGACAGGTCGACAGGAAAGGCTACAGTCCAGTCTGGGTTCGAAGCTTCTTGCATCAATGCGTCTGCGCTGGGGATGGTCGATGGCTCCCTGGTTGCTTGAAGCTCCTCGTCTACGGACTCATCCGAGTCAATCTCGCTTACAGGAAAGGTAGGGGCAAGAGTTGGGTTTGTGTAGTAGGGCACGAGGGTATGGTTGAGCATCTTGAAGGCAGCGACGTCGTCCATGGTCTCGAGATACTGGTGCGAGAAGCAGTACACTCCCTTCCTCTTGTTGTACTTGTAGACGTCGCGGAGCTCATAGGGCCAGTCGACGCGGAAATTCTCCGCAAAGGCGATGGTCGACTTGCCGGGGCAACGCTCAATGCCTTCGATCAGCAGGCCGTCTCGGACTTGCGGCCAGGTGAAATAGTCGACGACAGGCGGCCGGGCTGCTCTCGCTCTCTGGGCCAGGGTAGGGTACATGTAGCTCGAGATTTTTCTCCTTGCCTGGTTCTTGGGCTGGATCTTGTACACCAGGTTATTCCGCAGTCTCCAGAGCACGGCCAAGCGCTCGAGAGGGGCAGCTCTGTACCAGAGACCCTCGTCGAATGCACGGATGAAGCGCCAGGCAATGTCGAAGTGATGGACACTCTCGGCGGCATCCCAGCCGCTGACAATGGCGCGGATCATGATGTCTTGGTCCTCTTCCAGTAGCGAAAGGTTGTCGGGCGTCTGCTCGAGTTTGGAGATTGCTTCGTTGAGTCGGGGAAAGAAGGAACAGTCCTCGGAGTCTTCGCATAGCATGTTGACGCCCATGACGATGAGGTTGCGGGTGGCCGACATGGGCCTGGAGTGCTTGGGTGCGTCTTGCTCGAGAGTCCTGGGCAGTTCGGTCCATTGGTCGTCGCTGCGTGGGGAGTCGTAGCGGGTGCCGAGGAGGTCCACCGTCGCGCTGTCGTCGACTTTGGAATCGACCGTGGAGCCCTCGTGCTTGAGTCGGGCTTGCTCATGGTAAGGAGGCGAGGCATGATCGGACTTGGCCCCCGTGTCCTGCACCAGCGAGCGGATCTTATTGACCAGGCCTTGGAGGGACTCGATCTCCTGGGACTGCTTCGTCGCATGTTGCGCCAAGTAATTCGATCGCGATCGGTCGTCTCCGCTGCTGCTCTGCGTGAGATCCGCGACCGTCTTCTCCAGGTGTTGGATGTAGGCCTTGGTCTTGGCGCGGCTCGCCCGCTGAGCCTCTCGGTCATGAGCACGCTTCCTCTCGATGCGACAGGAAGTCATTGTGGTGGTGGTGGTGGTGGTGGTGGTGGTGGCTGTGTTGCTGGCGGCGCTGTTCCGACGCATTGACGAGAGGGGGAGAGAGAGAGGGAACGGAGATGGAGACGGGAAGGACTAGACGCGTGTAGGAAGAATAACAGGACGTCCCGTCCCCGGCCCCAGCGACTGCATTCCTCGCACATGCGCACATGTCTTGTACATGTACATGTCACCCATGTGCATGTGCATGTCCGGTACGGTACATGTCTGTCTGTCGTGGGCGTGGCATTCGCGGGGATGGAGCGCTGTCGGATGAAATGGAGAGTTGCGTTCCCGGCAGCTACTCGTCACTCGTGGCCTCAGCAATGAGTAAGCGAGAATGGCCTGCATAAGCATAACGTGGATAAATCTCAAGGCATTCGGCCCGTGCTCGGCAGAATTCTATTATGTACTGTCCACTCCCGATCTATACCACCACTTCCGTATATCATATCACTACACCAGCCGCTTCATTCGACGTCAGACACCACCATCATGAACGATGGGATGGAAGCCAACGTGCTCCCCCGTTCAAGGTACATGTGGCGTAGACCGACGAGATGGCGCATCCGATGATCGCGCATGGAAGTCGAACTCCGTCAGAATGCACGCAGCAGCCCTCAACCCCGCCTTCGTCCGGCAATCATCTTCTACGGCCGTAGCACTTGGTCACGCTCTCTGGTCACACTTGGAAACGAGTGCCATCTTGCTGTGGTCGGAATGGAATTGTCCAAAATTGGATAGATGGAAAAGACAGCGTTTCAATCTCTCAATTCCACGAGTCAAATCTCACGAACCAACATCATCACCATGTCCCAGAGTATCGGCTGCTCGTCCCAGGGTATATATAACACCGGCTCGGCAGCCAGGACCCTCAGACCTTGCAAAAGCTACATCGCTACTCACGACAGCAATGGAAAGAGCATCTGCACTGGTTTCCCCGAGAAAGTCTTCACTTTCCAGCGCGGTGCTTAATGCCGGTCGACCATCCTTCCTACCTAGAAAGGAGTGATGCTTAGGCAGTCAACTCCGTCCCTGCCCATCTTTCCAAAGAAGCCGACATCCAGGCTTACAATTCTCAGCAAGGTCCGCCTAGTCACACGCAACCAGATATCCCAGTCAGCCCTGGCGCCAATCTGGTGGTTGGAGATCTCGAGCCCGGCGGTGTGAGCGTGATGACGTACAATACCTGTAAGTACGATCTGAAGACCGGTCTTGTTCTTAGGTCAGCTTATCGTTACCATCTCATGACCTGCTATAGCAAAGACATTAGAGAGAATTTCACATTTAATGACATGGCAGAGATCGATCAGATAGTACATTAGACAATATACAGAAGTAGCGGTATCTCAAGGTATCCAATCCCCACGGAGAACACTCCCAATACCCTCCGGTATCATCGGCGGAGGCCAGAGACCCCAGATATTCACCTCAATAAACGGGTCGAACAGGAACGTGAAAGCGAAGCCCATAAAGGCCAACACCCAGCAAACCCTCAAAGTTCTCCCCATCACTTCGCTCCGCCGCCCGAGCAATCGAACCACGGGCTCCACAATCTTCACCTCCAACAGAATCCCCACGGCCTGTACCCAGAAGAACCCAGCAAACAGCAATCTCAATTCCCAACAAGCTCCATGCCTGCTCGCCGCCCATCTCGGTTCCGGTACAACCAACCCGGCATGTGTAATGCCGCTCAAGAAGAACGCACTCGCGCAGATCAGTGCATACCTCCCGAATCCACCCTTCTTCAGCCCCGATTTCCTCGCGAGGAATCTCCCCGGCTCGGAGACTGCGTGCCGCATCTGCTGATGCCACCACGTCCCCCAGAGGCCGCGGAGTCCCGTGTCGAAGACGGATGCTATGGGACCGAAATGCGGACGGGGCCAGGTGTGCGGGCTCCAGTGTGCGCGGGGGGAGTCGGTGAGGTAGGTCATCAGGACCGGGAGGAGGAAGGGTGGGAGGAAGAGGGTTGTCATGAGCGAGTAGGTGTATAGGCCTTGCGTGGCGGGACGGAGGATGAAGGGTGGTACGAGACGTTGGAGGATGCGGATTGTCTGTGGCTGAGATGAGGTCGGCGGTGGGAAACTTGCGCGAAGGGAGTTTTCAGCTGTTGCGAAGAAAGTGTCGTGTCTTTTGAGTTGGAGGGCCAGTGGCATGAAGATTGCCAGCGAAGGGACCAGGACAGATAGGATGGATGCGATGAATCTCAGTCGGGATTGTTGGATATATGGCGGCGAGACTTTCGCATCGTGCGACGGTTCTCCGGTTTTCCAGCACGTGAGTGGCCTCTCCGTCAATAACGTGCCGACCCACTTGACTCTTGGCCAGAACCTGTGCGGATATCCTTCATTCTTGCCGTTCTCTCGGAGTCTCCTGAAGTCCTTTCTCGGATCTCGGAACACGAGGAAGAAGAAACACCACCAGAGCGTGTCTGCGGAGATGACGTCGACTCCTCGCATGCAAATCCACGCGTGTACTGTGCAGCCCACGATTATGGGCATTGATAGACATGCTAGAGCTTGATGTGAGAGGATATGTGGCGGGATGAGAAGGCTGCCTGGCAGTAGGGCTAGGGGAACGAAGTAGCTGAGACTCTGTGGGCCCGGAATGATGGTATTGACCAATTCATAGTAGGTAGCAAGGAGGTGATGCATCCGGGAAGAGCGACCTGAAGACTCGAGAGGTCGTAGAAGTGGAGTGAAGAGTTCCATCTCATAGGTCTGAAGTAGGTAAGGTATCTCTCTCCGGGTGCATCCGACTGTCTTTGTCATAGACTTTTTGGCAGCGACAAGCATATCTAGCCTTTTCACATCTTTCAGACATTAGAACCAAAAAGACTAGAATCGTCTCTTATCGTCGTCCACGCCGTTTTCTTCAGTTCCTTCACTGTATCCAAGGAAGTCTTACGAGAGGCTCACTCAACCTTTACTCGTCTTGAAAAGGCAAATGATCAGCGCATTGCCTTCCTTGTCGGGCTCGGCGAACGATCTGCGAGTCCGAGAATCGATGTTCGGTATCGGTGCAGGGCTCTAGCATAGCCTGGCTGAGGGAAATCACCATACCATTGTTGAATGACAGCTCCGCTTTCTATGGTGTCCTCAGGTAATGGGCATTGTCCATGTCTGCACCGATCTGCGCCGCGTACATTATGTTCGCGAGATGGGAATCCTCTCTGTGTTGAAGACGAGGTATGAGTATCACCGTGTCTGGCGGTTCAGGCGTCGCTCATCAGTCTCGCTATCACACACACGAAGACTAGAAAGCGCTGAACGATCAGAGCAGCTCCAAAAGAGTACTTACTCGAGAATTTCATCACCTATCATCAACTCAAGGCGAGGAATATTAGGTAGCAATGGGCCTCGTCAATTCGGGAGTGAAATACGGCTCCATTCTACATCGCCCATCGAGCCAGGAAAGCTCTTTGCAGCTGCTCTTAACACCAGCAGCGAGGCACGACAATAGATGATACGACCACGAGAATTCAGCGATTACTACCACCAATAATGGTGCAGTGGACGATGCGACATCATCTGTAGTGCCGCAGCAGAGTGGGCAACGCGAGAAGGGTACACTATTCGTCCAGATTCCGGAGAGCCAGAGTCGTCATGAAATGCTGCTGTTGCTACTGCCCCGTCCACATTGCAGATGAGAAAGAGATTGGCGCGAGGCGTTCCGTGGGAAAGCGAGGCTGTTTTGAGAAATCTTCGACGTTCGGAACGGAATTTGACGGGTGAGGTGTGTCGAGTACCTGATAGACACTGAAACGAAGAGATCCCGCATTTGTTTCGAGATCGTCAATTTCGTATAGGCTCGCCTACATGGGCGTGAGATGAAGCCAAAGATGGAGCGTTTGGCAGCTCCTCGCGCTTCTGATATTCGACCCTTGTGCTGCAGCGGGAGAAGCATAACGGGCCTTGAAAGTCGCAATTGAGACGAACATATCAATGAGCGGGACCGAAATCAAGAATTGAACTGACTGACGCCGGTGATCAACCAGGGTGCAAAGTCTTCTCATAGTAAATCTGCAGCACCATACACCATGTCAGCATTGAGTTGTGTTATGAATTTGGTCTTTGTGATGATGCTGTATCCTTCGAGAGTGGTATAGCTTTGATGCTGTATTTGTACAATATAGTACAAGCCATTGTGTACACGAGCACGTCAGTAGGGCTATCATCGATCAATCTTGCCCCTCCAGTCCGCGATGTGGTCATTGATAACCTCGGCCGCAGCATCGACCGTGAAGTTTCGTCCGATAGCTTCGACGAAGTCTCCTTCGGGATCTGCACAGCACAGTCAGCACAAGTTCCGAAACCCTAATGCTTACACTCACCCATCAAGTAGAAGTAAATCGAATGGTCGACGAGATAGTCCTGCCCTGGCTTTACGTCAGGCGGCGTAGAGAAATACACCCGATAAGCCTTGCAAACATCCTTCACCTCCTCCCACGCCCCCGTCAAACCAATGATGTCCCCATGAAATTCCGCCAAATACCTCCTCATCACCTCGGGCGTATCCCGTGCTGGGTCGCATGAAATGAAGACCGGTTTCAGTACTCCTTCCCCATGCTTCTCCTTCACCCGATCAATCATACCCGCCATCTTATCTAGCTCTTCAGGACAGATATCGGGGCAGTGTGTGAATCCAAAGTACACCAGCGAGTATTTGCCCTTCAGGTCGGATTCAGTGAACTCTGAGGGTGGGTCGGTGTTGCAGTTTGTGAGGTGGAAGGGGCCGCCGACGAGCGGGCGTCCGATGCCTTTATTGGCTTCTGCTATTCGTGCGCGAGACATGCGGGCTTTTTCGTAGCGAAAGTAGATCGTAAGGCCGGCACCGGCGAGGAGGAAGAGGAGGCCGGCTTGCCATGAGAAGGGCTACGGGAACGTCAGACATCATCCAACGCATTCCGTGGTGTATGCTGTACGTACTCCTGATTTATGCCGTGACTTGGCTTCTTGGACGGTCTTGTACGCTCGTTGCTGCTGCCATCTTGATGGGATGCGCTGCGCGATGTTTGATGGTCTGCAGCGGAGGTCGTGCTTCACCGTCTGGGAGGCGAATGATCGTTTCGAAGACGTGGCCAGGCATTGTTTGCAGAAATTGAGGTGGACAGCCCGTATCGAGCTTAATAGAGGCGACGCCATTGCGATGTATGGTGCATGTGTTAGATTGTATGACGATAGAGTTGAAGCTCATACGTTCTGCCGCGGGTGGCGCAGGCTGGTGTGGCTGATGAAAAGTGTACGAGATAAGTGGCTGGACACCCCAACGTCGCATGGCAGACAGCGAGCCCGAGACTCCTTCTTTCGCATCAGTCAACGAGATTCTGTCATTGCGTCTGCAATGGGATCGAGCAAGTGGAGCCGACTAATCCGAGGCTACGCTACAGGACGCAAACTCGCTGTGACCTGCCGGGGTGAGTCAGGTCTCTTGATGTGTCCAAGTCTCTGCTAATTCTCGAAGGGTTAACAATCAGTCGCGATGAGCTCTACAAGTATACGAACGGGACTTTCCTGACTAATGCAACCAACGCTGTCCATCGGCGATACCTCAAGTTCGACCTTAATGAATTATGCTCTATTGCCTCCCGCACTGGGACCACGTCTGCAGTCACAGAGGTCGAGAAAATAGAGGGCGGCTTCAGCAAAGCATTGCTCCTGAAAAAGCTGGATGGTACCGAGGTCGTTGCCAAGCTACCGTTCAAGATTGCAGGGCCAGCTCATTACACGACTGCCTCCGAGGTTGCTGTTCTGCAGTACAGTATGATCCTAATGGCGATTCATGGGTGAAAATCTCGTGCTAACTTCTTTGCCAACAAGTAAGCCAGCACACAAAAGTGCCAGTACCCAAGGTCCTAGCTTGGAGTTCAGATCCTACAAACACGGTTGGAGCAGAGTATATCATTATGGAGAAAGCGCCCGGAATGCAGCTAGTCAAGGTCTTCGGCAATATGCGCGACTACGACCACGTTTTGCTGATAAAAAATCTTTGCGCGCTCGAGTCCGAGCTTGCTGCGATCAAATTCCCCGCGAACGGATCTCTGTATCTGCGAGAATCTTTGCAGAACAGCAGCGATGCAAATGTGCCCCTTGATTCGACGGAAGATCCGGAAGGTCAATTCTGCGTAGGCCCCTCTTGTGACCGGGCATGGAACGAGGAAGGAAGCCGTAGAGTAAGAGCGGGTTCATGTAGGTGGTCTGCACATTTGATTGATAGTCGTGACAAACGTGCTCACAGGCATACTAGGGTTGGATCTTTCAGATTTCGGCCAAGCGCTCGTGCAACGCGAATCTCTCGTATCAATAGCAAACGCATCGACCAGGAGTCTGAATGCTCAAGGGCTGAGCAAATTGCCACCCTCCGACTGGCCTGGGAGGTCGTGACTCGCATGTGCGCAGACAGCCTGCCTGGGAAATTTGCGAGCCCAACCCTATGGCATAGCGACCTCCACCTTGGTAATATATACGTGGCAGAAGAGGATCCGACACAAATCGTGTCCATCATAGACTGGCAAGGCCTGCCCATTCTACCTATGTTTTGCCAGGTCCGGTTTCCAGAATTCCTCGATCTCCCTGAATCCTACGAAATCGGAGCACCTGTCCCCCATCGCCCGGACAAGCTCGATGAGATGCAAGAAGACGACCGTATTTTAGCGGAATATACGCATAAGCAAGTGTGTATGGGCAAAGCCTACGAGGCTGCGAGCGGGTTCAAGAACAAACAAGTGTACAAGGCGCGCCAACTGCCTTCCTACTTCAAGGACTTCTTCGAACGCTGCGGTGAGATTTCGGAAGAGGGAGTTGTTCCGTTCCGAGCCTGTCTGATCGAGCTCTCAAAAGTCTGGGAAGAGACAGGCTGTGCTGGAAAATGTCCAATTCAATTCACTCCAGAAGACTTGGCCAAGCATGAACGGGATTTTGAAGAATATTCAAACTTCCATCGTATTCGGGCTATTGCTCGCAAATACTTGGATACAGATTCAGAAGGATGGATACCACCTGGAACCGACGTCGAAGTCAAGCGACAACAGAACCAGGAATTGTTACAACTCGTAATGAAAAGAAGTGCTGAATACGGGAGGACCCCGGAGAACGTGCGCAAAATATGGCCATTCTAACAAGCTCTCCGATACCGCGAAACCCATTTTCCCCAGCCTTTCTCGCCACTGGGCTCAAAAGAATCGGTTGTTGCGAGTCCCGAAATACGCGATCGACTGTGCGACAATCCTTCATCTGCAACTACCTCATGGCAATTGACCAGCCCATCTCATTCCAATCACTGCTTGGGGTCCCTCGTATCGATGTGACACTGCTGCAACTCGGCATTGAGCCGATCTTGTTTTCGGATCCCTTGGTCGCATCTTCAAACAGCCTGTTGGTTTCATCTTCTTGTCCGTCGTCTGGCGTATCGATTTTGACTTTGGGCATCGCAATGTGGCTGACGGATCCATCAGCGAGAACAGCTGTGAATCTTTTGATGTTGTTGCTTGCCCGGCCATACTACCAGCTGAAAAAGCTGTTTCCGCCGCCAGTAACGAAGCGAGGGACACCTACGATGCCCAATCTACCTCCCATAACGACCTTATCGTGTGGTACTGGGTATCGATAGACATGGGCCCGGTGGTTTCCAGGGCCAACATGGACACTGTCGCCCTCATCTGATAGCTTGAGTTGAGTGAAGCCGCTGCTTGACAGAAGAACTCGGTGAGTTGATGTTTCCGATTGAACCTTTCCACTTCCCCGCTCAGACTTCGCCTGGAAGACCCATGGCTGTGCTATTAACAGCGCGACGGTCTTTCTTCCAGCTCTATGTTTTAACGCTCTCCAGAGCGGCTTCGCTCCTCATCGCTAATTGTGTGCCGCCGGTAGTATAGTGCTCGATCCTGGAGAGGAGCACCGCTTCTTTCCTGGTCTCATAGAGATGACGACGATGGCATGCCACGAGAGCCTCGAAAGATTATTGCTAGTCAGCATTCGCGGTCGGCCTAGTTAAGGCAGCTTTCAGAGTTGTGTCAAGAATCTTGTTCTGACGCACTGTCGTTCTCATCCGTTAGAATCGTAGTCTATCGTGACATCAATCCAAGCTTGACGCGACATGCTACGGTCGTGTAAGCAGAAGCCAGAAATCAGCACTTTAAGTGATCCCGGAATAGTAGTGACGCGATTGAATGAGGTTAGAGGATCAAGGATTAAGATCTTGCTGCGATTGCCGGAGCTGGCGGCTGGACAAGCTCTCAGCCCTCAACCCTTCAAGACGTACGTATAAGTAACGTGAAGCTCTGACCCAATGTTGCTCTCGCCTTTGAGGTCTTCAAAGCATCGGCGTTTCGAGATGGGCTCGATTCAAGAACCAGTCCGCGGGCTCTTCCGCTTCGCAGTACCTGACTTCTCTGTCCCGGCAGAGGATCGTATGTTCTATCCATCGCCAGCTTCGAAGGAAGTCTCAGACCAAAACCTGGAGCTGCACGATTTTCGCACATCCAACGAGATCGTGAAAGGGCCGAGGGGTCTCGATATACAAGGATTTACCTACGTTGAGCATCAGTCCGCTCTTGCTGAAGATGCGTGGTTCGCGGAAGGCAACATTGAAAATGTCTATGTTGCAGAGTGCATAGGTCTCATTCTCAATGCGACAGGAGCGAGTCGAGCTATCGTCGATGGCATCAGCTTTCGCCGCAAGTCGCCCCAAGATCAGGATAATGACCAATTCTACATGTTGAAACGAGGTTGTGACCTCGACGTCGCAGTCTCCAAAATTCCACGCGGCGTAATGAGAGGTACTACGATCAGTCAGTCTTCTAGTCAAAGCTGATGCTTAACGTGATAGTTACTGGTCGACAAGCTGCTACGAGTTTGCAGCCCTCCCGCGCCTTTCACGTCGACTATTCCGTAAAGGGCTTGCAAGATACTGTACGATGGTGCCGCAAGGACATTGTAGAGGTCGCCAAGCCAACGATCGATGCGGAAGACGCTGGGCTGTCACCTAGATATGCAGCATACAGCATTTGGCGTCCACTGAAAACGGTCACGAAGGATCCTATCGCGGTGCTGGATTGGAGAACGGCGGACAAGTCGGAATTAGTGGCCGCATCAAGTCGCGCACTTAGCGGTGTTACTGAAGATGGGGAGTACATTCGTGAAAGTCTGATAGCGACACCACCGAAGAATCCGAAATCGCAAACATGGTACTGGATGCCAGAACAAGAGCCGCATGAGGTTCTCATTATCAAGTTCTCGGATACAGGAGCTGTCAAGGACGGCAACATCGCACGACACTGCGTCCACGGTTCGCCAAAGCTGAATGGCACGGAAGGATTGCCAGACCGGGAGAGCATCGAGTGCAGAATTCTGGCGTTCTGGGACTGAGGCACAGGATTTCTGCATCTCAGGCGATCGGCAGTATCTTGAAGTTCATCCTCCGGTAGTGCAGTCTAAGAGTACCATCGTCGCCGGGTGGATATGCTAATTTCAATAATGGCTTCATCTTTCGAAAGGCCAACGTCCTTGTGGGCGAAACCAAAGTCGACAGGCGCCACGCTGACTCTCTGTCCTCGTTTCAATCCGAGCACATCTGTCTCACCCACATCGATATGCTGTTCCTCGGTGGAGCTGCTGCCAAGTATCTTCTGCACAATTGTAGACTCAACTTCAGGCCCTCGTCAATCGCTCCTGCACCGGTGTTGGCTTTCTCTGCGTCATCCACAACATACCTAAATCGGTCAACCTATGCATGTACATGGGGAAACTCCTTGCCGCTGAGAGCCTTCCTGGTATCTGCCGTGGAGTCATCCACCTCGTGTCCCATGTCGCTAGATATGTTGACTGCCCAATCGTAAACCCAGCCGGCGTGTATTTCCGCCAAGCTCGGTGTGCAGCTTCCAACGGTCCACTGTCGTCCATTCTCTAGCATCTTCTCTAGCATCTTCTCTAGCATCTTCTCTAGCCTCGCAGATTGAAGTAGCGAACCATTCTTCTGCCAAATACTGATTCTGGGTAGTTGAAGAGAATTATCTCTCCTGGATAACCATTTGAGGGTGATTTGATTGAAGCCATGTCGATCCTGGCAAGGGATGTAATTGCTTTCACGAGCGGTCGTAGAGATGCGATCCTTGAAATAGCCAAGTCTCCTTGATAAATGACAAGATGCACTTTTTGACATGTATGCTCGCAAAATAGCAGGCGGAAGATCGGAGGATAGGGCGGACAGTGAGCTCTAAGCATACCGGGGAAGGACGGAGCTCCGGATCTACGTAAGTACGGCATGCTTTGTAGCATCCACATGTACAGTGGCTTCTGCGCTATGTCGCACCTTTCCATCGCAGGCGTTCACGTGCGCCGGCCCATCGCCATCCTGTGAGTATCCTGAATCCACGCCTCCTGCACTGCTATCGAGATTGATCATATGCTTGCTGCTCCACATTGGCCGTGGATATGGAGTGTCGTGACCCGTGGTCTGGGCCTCTTCCGCAGCACTTCTCTGGCGTTCTTCTCGCCTGACCTTGTAGCGCTCCTCCAGCTCCTCCTCACCGTAGTTGGAATCAGACAATGTTTCCCAGAACTCCTCTTCTTCTCGCTTTCTCCTCGCCAAAAGTTCCTCTCTGATGTACACAGGCGTGTAGCCTTGCAAGTACTCATTTGCAAGGTCTTCACCGTAATCGTTCACTCGCCAGATATGGCTCAGCTCCCTTGTGCTAGCATGGACCTTGAGCCTCTCATTGACGTACGCCAAGTCGAGCTGAAGGCTTGGGTGCGAAACAATTTCGGGCGGCAGAGGCGGTGTTCTGCGGGTCACGAGGCCATCCAGCAGAGGTTCGCAGATGTCGAAATCCTGGCGCTGTACAGACAAACTAACGGCTGCTTCGTCGTGACTTTGACGGCTAGAGGGCGGTCGGGTGAGGAGCGGTGATGTGAGGCTCGTCGCCGCCGCCGAAGCGGCATTTCGAGTATCTTCGCAAGGCGATTTGAGCGATGAAGGGCTCGAACGTAATGGCCGTAGACGTTTTGTTGGTTGGCGCAGTGGGTGATCGTCTCGTCCAGATTGCGACCGGGCGCTAGCGTCATCTTCGCGCTTGCGCTTCTGCACCATGATAGCGGCGCTACATTTGTACGTCCACAGGTTCGCGACTGCTCGCCTGTTAAGAAGAGCCCGTATGTGTGTATACAGCTCGGTGACCTACCTTACCTCCTTAGACGCGACGCCGGAACAACATTTTCTCCGGGCCCGGAGATCCCTTAGCGAGAGTACGGGGGGTTGTAGTTAAGCCGTTAATAACTTATGCTTCTCCTACGTAGTAAGGCGTACATAAGCTATTACTATATAGAATTAGTATATCCTTTACCTAATTACGATAGTACTAGAGCTAGTTAGTATCGCTCGTAGCTAGTACTTCCTTTACCTTACTCTATACTACTAGGTCGTCCTATAGTAGGTAGCTAATAATAGCCTACCTATATAACCTAATAATAGAGGGTCGGATTATTAGCTTACGGACTATATATAGGTCTATATACTTATAGTTAGCTTACCCTAGATAGCCGGATTATTAGCGTTAGATTATTAGCTTAGGGTTAGGGTTAGAATGCTTAGGGTTAGAGTTAATAGGTATTACTCTTATCTTAAATAAACCGAATAGTTACTACTATATCTCGCTTTAACTAACTAGGCTCTCCTATAGCTAAACCTACTTATCGGCTAATAGACTCGGTTATAATACTATCTATAGCTATATCTCGGTACG